AGTATTCACAGCACTTAACTTTTGCCACATTTTGTTATTTTACAGCCTTATTCCAAAATGGATTAAATTAATCTTTTTCTTCCAACATTCTACAAACAATACCCCATAATGACAATGTTCATTTTGAAATTTTTTGTCATTTATGAAAAATAAAAACCGAAAACCCCCCACAAAAGTACATAAGTATTCACATCCTTTGCCATGACACTCAAAATTGAGCTCTGAAGCATCATGTTTCCACTGATCATTCTTGAGATGTGTCCACAACTTGATTGGAGTCCACCTGTGGGAAATTCAGTTGATTGGACATGATTAGGAAAGGCATAAACCTGTCTGTAAAAGGCCCCACAGTTAACAGTGCATGTCAGAGCACAAACCAAGCCATGAAGTCCAAGGAATTGTACATAGACCTCCGAAACTGGATTGTATCAAGGAACAGATCTGGGGAAGGGTACAGAAAAATTTCTGCAGCATTGAAGGTCCCAATGAGCACAGTGGCCTCCATCATTCATAAATGGAAGTTTGGAACCACCAGGAATCTTCCTAGAGCGGGCCGCCCAGCCAAAATGAGCGATCAAGGGAGAAGGGCCTTAGCCAGGGAGGTAACCAAGCACCCAATGGTCACTCTGAAAGAGCTCCAGCGTTTCTCTGTGGAGAGAGGAGAACCTTCCAGAAGAACCATCTCTGCAGCATTCCACCAATCAGGCCTGTATGCTAGAGTGGCCAGACGGATGCCACTCTTCAGTAAAAGACAAATGGCAGCCCGCCTGGAGTTTGCCAAAAGGCACCTGAGGGACTCTCAGATCATGAGAAACAAAAACTCTCTGGTCTGATAAAACAAAAGATTGAACTCTTTGGCCTGCAAGTGTCATGTCTGGAGGAAACCAGGCACCGCTCACCACCTGCTCAATACCATCCTTACAGTGAAGCATGGTGGTGGCAGCATCATGCTGCGGGGATGTTTTTCAGTGGCAGGAACTGGGAGACTAGTCGGGATCAGAGGAAAGATGAATTAAGCAATGTACAGAGACATCCTTGATGAAAACCTGTTCCAGAGCACTCTGGACCTTTAAACTGGGGCGACGGTTCATCTTTCAGCAGGACAACGACCCTAAGTACACAGCCCACATAACAAAGGAGTGGCTATGGGCCAACTCTCTGAATGTCCTGGAGTGGCCCAGTCAGAGCCCAAACTTGAACCCGATTGAACATCTCTGAAGAGATCTAAAAATGTCTGTGCACCGACGCTCCCCATCCAACCGGATGGTGCTTGAGAGGTACTGCAAAGAAGAATGGGAGAAATTACCAAAAATAGGTGTTCCAAGCATCATACTCAAAACGACTTGAAGCTGTAATTGGTGCTAAAGGTGCTTCAACAAAGTATTGAGCAAATGCTGTGAATGTTTACAGTGAAGGAAATAAGTATTTGAACCCCTGCTGATTTTGAACGTTTTCCCACTCACAAAGAAATTATCAGTCTAAAAATCGGATGGTAGGTGTGCTGTAACACAGAGACAGAATAGCAACAAAAATTCAAAAGAAATGCATGTCTAACAAATTATGCACTGATTTGCATGTTCATGAAGGAAATAAGTATTTGATTCCCTTCACAAAACATGACTTAGTACTTGGTGTCAAATCCCTTGTTGGCAGTCACAGAGGTCAGGTGTTTCCTGTAGTTGGCCACCAGGTTTGCACACATCTCAGGAGGGATTTTGGCCCACTCCTCTCGGCAGATCCTCTCCAAGTCATTAAGGTTTGGCGACTGACGTTTGGCAACTCAAACTTTCAGCTCCTTCCACATATTTTCAATCGGATTAAGGTCTGGAGACTGGCTAGGCCACTCCAGGACCTTAATGTGCTTCTTCTTGAGCCACTCCTTTGTTGCCTTGGCCGTGTGATTTGGGTCATTGTCATGCTGGAACACCCATCCATGACCCATTTTCAATGCCCTTGCTGAGGGAAGAAGGTTCTCACTCAAGATTTGACGGTACATTGCCATCGTCCCTTTGTTGCGGTGCAGTTGTCCTGTCCCCTTAACAGAAAAACACACCTCCAAAGAAGGTTTCCACCACCATGTTTGACAGTTGGGATGGTGTTCTTGGGGTCATAGGCAGCATTCCTCCTCCTCCAAACACGGCGAGTTGAATTGATGCCAAAGAGCTCGATTTTGGTCTCATCTGACCACAACACTTTCAACCAGTCCTCCTCTGCATCATTCAGATGTTCAGTGGCAAACTTCAGATGGGCCTGGACATGTGCTTTCTTGAGCAGAGGGACCTTGCGGGCATTGCAGGATTTCAATCCTTGTCGGCGTAGTGTGTTACCAATTGTTTTCTTGGTTACTGTGCTCCCAGCTGCTTGGAGATCATTGACAAGATCCTCACGTGTAGTTCTGGGATGATTCTTCACTGTTCTCATGATCATTGACACTCCACGAAGTGAGATCTTGCATGGTGCACCAGACCTAGGGAGAATGACAGTTGTTTTGTGTTTCTTCCATTTGCGAATGATTGCACCAACTGTTGTCACCTTCTCACCAAACTGCTTGTCGATAGTTTGGTAGTTCAGTTCAGCCTTGTGTAGGTCTACAATCTTGTCCCTGACATCCTTGGACAGCTCTTTGGTCTTTGCCATGGTGGAGAGTTTGGAATCTGATTGTTTGATTGCTCCTGTGGACAGGTGTCTTTTATACAGGTAACAAAATGAGATAAGCAGCACTCCCTTTAAGAGATTGCTTCTAATCTCAGCTTGTTACCTGTATGAAAGACACCTGGTAGCCAGAAATGCTGATGAATGATAGGGGATCAAATACCTATTTCCTTTAAACATGCAAATCCGTGCATAATTTGTTAGACATGCATTTCTTTTGAATGTTTTTTTGCTATTCTGTCTGTGTTACAATACACCTACCATTCGATTTGTCGACTGATCATTTCTTTGTGAGTGGGCAAACATTCAAAATCTGCAGGGGATCAAATATTTATTTCCTTCACTGTATGTACATATTGCAAAGATTTCAAAACAAACTTCTTTCACGTCATTTATGGGGTATGGTCTGTAGAATGTTGAGGAAAAAAAATTAATTTAATTGATTTTGAAATAAGGCTGTAACATAACAAAACGTGGCAAAAGTTGAACGCTGTGAATACTTTCTGGATGCACGGTGTATTGATACCTGTTAGTTCTGCTTTAATGGCTAAGTCACCTTTTAAAAAGAAATAATGCACATTTTTCTGCAAATTAAAAAATGTGCATTTATTATTTTTTTTCTAGGAAACCTGTAGACCATTACACCCACGATCAGTCCTGCAGATTCTCAGGATAGCTGTATGCCCATTCCTCGTATAGGCAGGTAGTTATTAGAGAGCAGGAAGATCAATGAACTACCAGAATGCTCACCAGCACCTTGGTCATTCATTGAGAACTACAAACCGCCAGCCGCAATGATTTACGGTACATGTAGTCTATTAATTTACCAGAAACTGTATAAATTATGTGGGTGCATGGGCGAACCCCTGCAGGGCCCTGCTGTTTTCAAATTGTCACAGAGGGTGCGGGGAGAGGGTCCCATATTGTGGGGGGGGGGGGGAATCAGAGGAGAAGGGGGGGGGGGGGGGGAATCAGAGGAGAAGGTGCAGATGCTAGAACATGTTACATGTTCCACCTTAAAAATGGGTGGAGCATGTAACATGTTCCATAGGTGAACTTATTCCTTAAGTAAATAGGTCATGTAATTACCAGCTGGAGACTGGTGTCAACATAAATCAAAGCATATACCTTTGTACGCACCTTGAGGGTTAGGGACTGATGTGAATGTACAATATATTTGTAAAGCACTGCGTAAATTGACGGCGCTATACAAGTACCTGAAATAAATAAAAATAAATATTGCCAGGATCTTGAAAAAACCATAAACTGTTTATTAAAGCGATCACATCACATCGGTGAAAGTGCAATGTTTGGTGCTATGCAGGACCCCTTTGTCAGGCATGCTGCATACCACGCTCTGTATGGACACTCCTCACAATATCTGAATGTTGCCTGCTGCGTGCAGTGCTGTCCTGTTTAGGAACAGTTGCACATTCTGTTACATTGAATGAAATAAGTTTACAGTCTTGGGACTTCCACTTTGAAATATCAGCATTTTGAGGGGTTACTGAACCCTTCCACAAACCAGAATATTAAGATCCAAGATTTTTATAAATGTATCATTACTACTTGTGTAAACAACATGGTATACGGCTTTAATTGCAAGTTCTCCTCCACTGTAGATTTAACACGTCTTTTCCATTTCAATCTATGTTTAGGGCCTTTTCCCTGCCTTCTCTGATGAGAGCTCTGCCCAGTCTGAAGAGCCTGTGTGGACTGTGTGCTTATTAAATCCTAGCCTTAGCTAGGTTACTCATTCATCGGGAGAGATTTAGCTGAAGCTGTGTCGTTTTAGTTTTCCCCGTGTCCCCATTACAGCCATTCTCCCCTGACACGAGTAAATATGAGACCAGAGAGGCATAGCTTTGAGCGGTTGTCTGATAGCAGCAGGTTACTGTGACATCAGGAGGTTCTGTGTCTGGGCCCACTCTGTCACACCGGATTAGGGCTTTGCAGGTTTTCTAATCTGCACACAGTTATCCATATGAATAAAATGTTCCCTCCACCATTCAGCCAAAGCCATGAGGATTAGTTGCGGACACCCAGTCTGTGCTTGATGCCTGGAGAGAGACCGCTGTCTACAGGGTGTTGTACTGTATCGTCTTCTATTACCTGGGATTAATAATTCAGCCGATACTTTTGTAACTCAAGCCGCCTGTTTCTGTTGTGCCTCCAGAGAGCTCAGGTGCAGCTACATCTGTTTATTGTGTGTGTGTTTTTTTTTCTTTGATACATGTAACAGAAGATTTTAACTGAGACGTTTCCTCGCCTCCTCCTCTTCCACTGTATCTAAGCTGAAAGGTTTTTTTTTTTTTTTTTTTCCAATGCCGGTTCCAGGCAGGCACACAAACATCAGCCGTTCTCGTAGCTGGGATGCAGCAGGTTGGTATGAAGGCAGCTGGGAGGGAGATATCTCATCAGGATATCACAGTGCAGCCGGCATAAACAATTCTCTGACCTACAACGGAGAGGAAGCTTTTTACAAGCTGCCAAGCAGCAGATCCCGCGATATTCTCGTGCCAGGCAGCTCGGAGATAAAGGCGGACCTCTCTTCCTACCCAGACGCATATATCCGAGGTCAGCAAGGTCACCTGGTGCATCAGGACCGCAGGCCAGTGAGGAATAACTCTGTCCCAGACTTCAGCTTTCCCAACGAGAGGCAAATGGCAATGTCTGGGCGTGGATCTGTGCAAACCCATGATTATTATAATGAGCCTTCTCTGCCTGGAAGATCCCTGGAGGATCCTCGTTATTACAGAGACCCAATACTAAATCGTGCAGGACATGCTTATGGACCTCCCACAAGTCGTACGGCCTGGGAACAGGCTCCTGCACGTCCCTATCACTCACAGGAAGTAGGTCGTATGTACAGAGATCCTACAGGTAGAGTTATCAACGAGGGACAACGTTCCAGGAGTCGAGATTCATCCCCTGCCAGATACACAGTAGATCTACCCAACCCCAGATATGGCTCAGAGGCATCTACGTTCCCCAACAGACTGATTTATAATGATATGATGGAACGAGCCATTGATCCCACAGGAGGGAGGCAGGCAGCTCCTACCTGCCTGGTGGTGGAGCCCAACGCATCTGCTGCCATGGATGGCACTCTGGGGACTTCCTCTATCTCTGCAAATCGGGGATATGGCTCAGTAAGGGATAATGTCACTGCTAAGATGACATATGACGCTTATGATGGTACTCTAACTCCATCGCATTCTCAGGCCCCAGTGTCACTTTCTGGAGCAGAACTAAAGAGGGCTGTAGATATGGAGTTCCTTACAATCTTGAGGAATGAAGGCCTTTCTGAAGCAACTGTTAGTGCATTGATACAGCAGGGGTTCGACACGCCCAGCTCACTGGCTGTCATGGAAGAACATGACATTAAATCAGTGGCTGCTAATCTTGGCCAGGCGAGACTGCTTTCAGGTCTTATCAAGAGCTACCGGGCAGATTTGCAGATGCTAAGACAAGATCCACAGAAAAGTAACTCCCTGAGGTCTCGAGCTCGCTCCAATAGCTTCAGCCACCGGGGAGATCTCATGCGCAGTGATTTCAGTGCACAACCCCTGAACAACCCAATGATGGATGGAGTTTCCAACCCTCAACACTCCTTGTCATTGCAGCCGGTCTCACCTCGAATGGCTGAACTCAACCGCCGTCCTTCTAGTGCCCCATCCCAGCACTTACTGGAGGCAGCCAGCTACCCAGCTTGTGGAATGAGTGCCCAAAACCCACAGTTCATGCAAACTGCCGGATACTCCATTCCTGTTCAACCTCGTCCAGCATCAGCTTACTCTGCCCAGTCTGGCATACCAATGACTGTTGTACACACAAACATCACCAGCGGGCCAAAAACAGCTTACCCTACTAGTTACACTGTGCCCATGGAGCTTATGAAAAGAGAGCGTCTTCCACCCACTTCTCCTGTCCACAGCCCTCACTGTAGCCCTCAGCTTCTACGCAAACAGGGGACTCATATGGAAACCACAATGAGCCTACCACCACCTACCATACCCAGTCAGCACTCTCTCCACTCACCCTACCAGAAAATAACCAGAAGGACTGGACCACCCATCATTGTCTCCACCATGGCATCACCAGAGCCAAGTAACTATACCATACTATTTGCTTGCTTCAAAAGGGATGGGGATTTAATTATGTGTTTGTTAGTAGACTGTTATAATGTCCTAGTTCTTCCAAAACCTTAAATTAGCTATGTAGGTAGTATAAGTAGATGGCATGAGATAAGGAAAGAGTAACTGTTTTCTGCACAAATATAACTTTCATGGCACTTCTTGAATGTATGCCCCAGGCAGTGCTACTACACTTCTGTAATTATTTCATCTTCAGCCTCTTACAAACACTTGTGTATGAGGATAGAGCATGCTAGGAGTTGCAGTACATCCCCTAACAAAACATAGACTGTTCACAATATTATAGATGTAGCTATCAGGTTGTAGAGCTGCCAGAACTAATGTGAGAATGCTAACAGAAAAAATATAGCTGCCATATTTAGATCTGCTATCAGCACTAGACAATTCATTACAAATCAGATTGATTTAATTAGGTGGGTAATTAGTATTGCTTGAAAGCGTGAAGTGAGATGAATACATGTCAAAGGAAGGAGATAAGGTATCTGCCTGATTTGTGAGTGAGCAGTGGAGATTGAGACAGAGATATCAGGCACTTTTTCTTCTTGTCTGTAGACTGCCAATCTGAAACAGATTTGGTAAACGACATGGCCGGCAAACCAGTGGGCTGTGGATGATTGGGATAAGCATGTCTTCTGACTATGTTTGCAGGTTATTTAGGAGCCACTTATTAGCAGAGCATGTCTAAATGATATGGTCATTCCCTTCCAATAATTGATATGTAATATAGCAGATACAGCATCAGAGAACCTTTTAATAGGAATTCACTGTGATGTCTCATAGCAACCATTTATATTTAAAACCTGTAGTAGAAATTTAAAGTGTGAATCGGGTTGCTGTGGCAAAATATAGTGCCTGTAAGACACTGGTAATGTCTGTAATCCTTTTACATAATAAGTAGAACATAGTATAGTCAATGGCATTTTCTAGGTACTAAGAAGGTGTACGTAATAGTGGTCAGTGAATGCTAAAGATAGCTGTCACGTTTGCTGTGATATCAGGTGAACTGTGAGACAGGTAGAATGAAAAATCTTAATTCTGTCTGTAAAGTTGTTAATTTGTATGTGTGTGTAGTGTATATGTATGTTAAAAAAAACATATATATACACACAGTTTAGGAGCTATATGTGCCAGTGTGTCCTGTGTAAACTGTTTTATAGAGCCACAAGGGTTGTGTTGGAGGCTGTTCATTACAGTTTGGTCATTTCAGGTCATATAAAAAAAAAATATTTTATTCAGATAGTACTAAAATCTGCAATGCCTTTGTAGAGCAGGTAAGCCATTTACAAGCCATTGCCAAAGTAATATGATTTAGATCAGTTGGTGATGGAATCCAGCTAATCCAACTGTATCTTTGGTTATGGGAGGAGTGATTCTTAACCAATTACAATGGAGTCTAATGCTAACCATACACTAGTTGAAAAATCATTCAAACAATATTGCTATCATGTAATGACCGAATTTTGAACGATAAACCGTTTAATGGACATAAATCTGTTTTTTTGTCCATTTTTTTGCTTCTGGGTCACATATTCACAGTACCAACAGTTAGATTTTTCACAGGCGAGAAACACATTGACCTTTCAATTTATTGTCCATTCTACAGAAGTTTTTGAAACTTTTCCTTTGATTTTTTTTTTTTTTGGGGGGGGGCCAAAAATGTCACTACTGATTTTCAATTTGTGTCCGTTAACTGGATGACAAATGAACAAACTGTCCAAAAGACATATTTGTGAATGATTTTTTTTTGTCTAGTGTATATCCACCATTAGTTTTCTTACTACAGGCTTTGGCAACAGCTAGGTGCATTGCACATGCACTTTAAAGGGCATCTGTGAGCATAAAGATAGGAGATCTGCTTTTGCAGATTCTAAGACTTTCACCCAATTCTACATTCATTATCTAATGAGTTACAGAAGGGTGTTCCAGACTTTGCCAGCTGCATGCTTGTTTCCAGGTCATTGACCAGACAGTGAAGCCAGTATGAAAGAGCCCTAGAGCCTGCACCTTTTAAAAACAAATTAGCAATGGCTGTTCTCATATTTTCACCCTCACAGCTTAACTTGAAAGCAGAACTGCAGTGTATAGAGCAGTGGAAGCTCTTACTGTAATGCACAAGTATACTATGCATACTTGCACATTATGGCAGAGTTACCTTTTGATTTTGCCCACCTACAGCAGTGAAAGCTCTGCTGTCCCTGCCACTTCTTCCTCTGTATCCAACCTTTTCTTTCTTTGATCATTGGGTGGCCACTGATTGAGAATCTCCTGCTCATATGTGCTAGAGTTATATCATCCTGGCTTCTGGCTCCTTTCTCAGCATCTCACAGATGAGGAGTAGGCAGATAGTATACACTGCACTCCAAGTTTGCTGTAGGAAGTGTGCACCAAAAAAATTGCCATGAGTAAGATGAAATTATTTTTTGTAAAAGGACATATGAAGTCTGTCTTTACCTCCTGGCATCTTTTTTTTTTTTTTTTTTTTTTTAAGGCTTTAGTTGATATAGATGTACACTATGATTGCGCTGGCATGATACCTATTCAAGAAAATGATGTCTAGCAAATTTCAGACCTAGAAGAAATATGCACCAAATAAGAAGGAAAAGTCAGAAATCTTTATTACTGTCCTTGTTTCAGGTGATTGACTTGGAAATTACTAAAGCCATTATATCAGAATGATGCAATAGTACTTTTAGAAAGAGGTCAGCAATGGCACCCTCCATATCTCTCCTACAACAGGTTTCCTTAAGATCAGAGAGATTATTTATCAGGTCTTCTTAGCAAAGAAGTGAAAAGTTCAGCATTGGGGTGTACCATGCTGTATTGCACAGCTACAAATATTGACTCTTTTGCTGAAATGTGATTGGTTTGTTAAGAGCTCCTGCTTATTACACGTCATCTCTGCATTTACCCACCTTCCAGTAGAAGCTTTGGATTTTTGGAGGGAATCAATAAAGTGTCACTATGATGTAACATATGGGTGGGAGTCCATCTTTCTGACCACATTTCAGGTTAAATGTTGAGAGTGTAACACGAAACATGGTCAGAGTCTGCAGCCCCTCACCCCCCAACCTTTCCCCTACTTACAGTACCTAGAGGTGGTTCTCCTCACTGACTCCTATCATTATTTAAATTTGGCGTTGCTGTGCAATAATGCAAAATAAATTAAGTAATTAATTTACAGAGATCTGACCTGTCATGGTTCTCAATGGAGCACAAGTGCGGTGACATTGCTGCACTTGGTAGTCTATTGATACTTTCTCAAGCACCATAACTGAAGGTCCGTATTTTGGTAAGGACCTTCATCTAGAGCAGCCTTTCTCAACCAGGGTGCCCAGGCACCCTTGGGTGCCTTGAGGTGTCTTCAGGGGTTCCTTGGCTAAAAATTGTCCAAAACTTGTTCTACAAGCCAGCGGGTGGAGCAAGCCTGCCTTTTAGTTACACAAAGCCACAGGTTTTCATTGTGCACCATTACGACCTTCTAGCCACCGAAATTCTGGCAACCAATGACATCATCAGTTGATAAGGAGGATGTCATCTGTCTGCACAGAATCCTAGTTTGACCCTCCCCTGCCCCTCTCCATCAGTGCTGGGGTCACATTAGCTCAGTGATGGACAAAAACTGAGGGAGAAGAGAAACAGTACCAGTGTGCAAAAGTGTATTTGCTTTGGAAGAATAAATAACCTCTAATGTTGGTGGCCTACATGTGTGGATGCGTTATATAAAACAATTACAATAGTTTTTCACATTTTAGAATGGGGTGCCTCAAGACTGTCCATAATTGTAAAGGGTGTCTCAGGACTGTCCATAGTTTTAAAGGGTGCCTTGACTGCAAAAAGATTGAGAAACACTGCTCTAGAGGAACAGTCTGTAGAATTCAGAGCATTGCACCAGCTATCCACTGATCAAGGTCGCAATGCTTTGCAGGCGCCAATGCAAAATAAATAAATAAATACACATAAGTTTATTAATCAGTATAGGTGCATTGAATTTTTTTTTTGCAGGTTATTTATAAAATATTCTGCACTGTATTTGTCATTTGCAGTCACAGAGTTTGACATGGTTTGTTTTGTAATTTGTAATGCATCTAGTATTAGATACTTCTATCCTCAGGCCCCTCTCTGCCATAGGTGATCATATAGAATAATGTTGCAGTATTAGTATTGTCATTTTGCTGCAGTCACGTTGGTGTTATTTTAATCCCTTAAAATATGCTGTTTCTCAGCAACCAGTGGGTGTGACTGTACTCCCAGGATGAGCATCTCCACAGTAACTTCCAAATTTATCTGCCGGGGCCTGCAGGCTCAGGAGGGATGGAGGCCTGCACTGGATTTGCAGCAGCAGCACACGGCTGTTTACAGAAGGGAAGGAATTAGTAATGTAAAGTGTGATTGCACAGCTATTATTATCATCTCTACAGCATGGGAATAATGTATGGCAAGGCTCTACAGCATAGGAGGGTGTTAATTAGATAATTACACCCGCCACTGAACAGCTTCTATTTCTCTGAGCGCAGCATGTTTGCCGAACGATCTGCTAACTACATAAATCAACAGTAAATCTGTTTGGTTACTGCAGCAGAAAATGTACTGGTTGATTAATTTTGTGTGTTAACATAAAGGGGCTTTATAGGCGTTTTCTGAATTAGGGGCAGGTGATGCTACCCAATGAAACACTTGAAAGTTGAGCAGGGTGCAAACGTCCATGGCAACCAATCCATCCTCTCAGAGGCAGATTATATTTGGCACACTAATGGAAGTCTGTTTTGGGTGATTTGGGTTATTGTACAATCTCCTTTCTCAATTGTGTCATCAAACCTGAAATGTTTAGAGGGAAAACACATTCTTAAAGCCCAATTCCAATAATTACAAAATATTACTTTTTACTAAGACACTCTTCCCCCTCCCAGACTGCAAACATGCACTGCTTGTCAAGTCTAGGGGGTGAGGAGTAAGTTACAATCCTTCTTTACATCCCTCTCTGACAGGCTTCCTCCATCTATAGGACCAAAACATCTTCTATAAGGCACTTTGGGCTGTGGTCACATCATGATGTTATCAAATATAATGCAGGGCCAATAGCCTTGCATTGTATGTGAGTGCAGGAAGGTACCACCCAGGTGCTGGAGCGGAGAAAGGCGCTGGAGCAAGAAATAAAGTAAGTATTATATCTTCTTCCTCTACCCTAGAATTAATGAGCATTTAACCTTTGCAGTGGGGAGGGCCCCACTGCAGGGTTATTGTTTTTTTTTTTTTTTTTTATTCTTTAATTGTGTTTTAAAATGTAATTCCTGGAGTTTGACTTTCACTCCATTTTATAGTACTTAAAAAAAATATTTTTTATGTCTGCATGCATTGCTGATTTTTCCTCAATTCTTGTCTGGTGAAACCATTGTCACTAGGACAGTAAACAAAGGATAACCTCTCTAACAGAGTCCCATATAGCAACAAAAAAAACAGGACAAGGGTTCTAACCCTTCTCCACTCTATCCAAAGCCAAAAACAAAGTATTGCTGAATATTCACTTTTTAGTAATCATTAGAAGCAATATCTTGTTTTGTTTTTTTTCTTATAAAAGATTTGTCCTTGGAAGAATCTCTTTGCTTTTAGTGCAGACCAGCTACTTAGTATATGTATGTACATGTGTAATGCGGTTTTAGGTTTTCCTGAAAAACTACCAAATGTCTTTGATGTTAAAGCTGAACTCTAGACATCTAAACACACAAACCTAATACATGTATGGGAGCTGTTATGCCTACCAAAGAATGTGTATTTCTCCCCGTGGAGTTCAGAGATGTACCTATCCTACCAGAAAGCACAGCCAATATAGTGATCTGAGCTTTCCCTGCTGCAGTTAAGCAACACAGGTCACCTTACTGCTCCCAGTCTGTGATTGGACAGGGAAAGAGCACCAAAAGATTAATGGGGCCATCGACTCTCTCCTCCTTGTTAGCATGTCCTTTCTCAGCACATGTAAATGCAGCACAACAGATAGACCCCAAGTTCGACCCCGCTCTCTCTATGTGCAGAGTATTACAAGAAGAGAAAAAAATCAGATTTTCATACCAGTTGCATTTAAAATTAACATAGCTGTATTCAGGTGTGCTTTAATTAATTGCTTGGAATTTAGCTTTAGGTATGTTTTAAACCAAGAGACATGTTTTGGAGTCTCTGATAATCAATTTAGTCCCATGTGTGTAACATTTTACACTTGGGCTGCTTTGGTTTTTTTTTTAGCTTTTACATGCTCAACCATGTCTGCCAATTTTGATTAGATAAAATAATGAAAGCTACACAAGCTACTCAGAAATATTAAAAATATGTGTAGATGGCATGTATATAACCGATGTGAGACTGGTAAATATCTTGCCTTGTCTTTATGAATATCCAGGTATGCGGCCCCAAACTCTGAATGGTCCAATGCACCCCCGTCCTCTCATTGCTCTGCTGGATGGAAGGGACTGCACAGTGGAGATGCCAATACTCAAAGATCTTGCGACTGTAGCTTTCTGCGATGCCCAATCCACACAAGAAATCCATGAAAAGGTAATTGTTTATCTGAGAATGTACAGACAAGTGATATGTACATTTTTTGACTTGTATAAAAGTTTAGTCTGAGCTGTATTGATGTATATGACCACTATGGTGACCAGTGCCTAGGGCAGCAGGAGATAATGGCAGGGACAACAGTAGAACGTTCATAATCTATGCTGAATAAATATTGTATTTTAGTCATACAGTACAGGACATAGGATGATATTCTCAACTCCTGGGTTATAGACTGATAGCTGCAGGTGACTGGACACTGGCAAACAGAACATGCCCCCTGGGTGTCCCCCCTATACCCTTACCCGATTCTGTGAATCCTCATTGTTTTTGCTAGTGTCATAAGGTGATGGACCCCTTCTCCCTTATGAAGAAATTATTCTTGGCTTAACTAGTTTATTATTTTAACTTTGGATTCTCAAATCAGCCCTTTACTGTCTTCAACAATATAATCTGTACATCTGGATTGGTGCATCCCCAGTATAACCTTGGGAACCGTACCTGGACTCTGTACCTTGGGGGGGGGGGGCTGTGATGTTTCCAGCACTGGATCCTGCATGGGTACTCACCTTGGTGCTTGGTGCACCACATGTAGTTAGCCACTCTGAGCTGTACAGGTCCAGAACAGTAGTCCATCCCTATGGAACCTAGACCTTGAAGACTCCTTTGGGAGTATATATAGGGGCCAGAGACATGGACAGGGTCATCCTCTGTCTCTGACTACAAGCATGAGACAGAATATCTCCATTACTTGTTTTGGACTATTTGTGTATCCTGAATAGTATGTGTTTAGACATTAAAATGATCAGGAAACTAGGAATTTGTTTGGAATTTATTTACTTATACAGTGTAAACTTTTTAAACGTATCACTAAAATACAACCCCACAGAGCTTAGTCTCAGGTGGATGACACAACAGTTCACACACTTTATCTCCACTTCTGCCTAAAACTCTTTGTAAGGTTCCTCTGCCCTTTTGCTATGAGGACCTTTGATACAGGGCAATCTCTGTTGAGTTGTTGCATACTCCTCAGACACACTTACTTCATTTCTGCACCTTACTGTGTGAGTACCCCACAGGTAAAGATGGTGGAAACCAGACACAAGGGAGCCACAGCAAAAGCTCCAGCAAACAATACTAAAGGCCATCAAAACACTCAGACCGCTCAGAATGATGCACTGGAGCAGGACCCTATTTTAACACCGGTCTCTGCGTTTGGTTCTAGCTCTAGCTCAGGCATGAATTTCACGTCCTACCTGACCAGGGTGGAGTTCTCTGTAACTATGTCACAATTCCTCAGAAAACTATTGGCTGTGATACAACCACCATTTTATAGGGCTCAAAAGCAACAAGCTCCTTATTCACCCCCCACTGTCTGTACCTGAGTCAGATCCTGATATGTCTTCACTAACAGAGGTAGACACAGAGGGGTATGGAGAGGACCTAGAAGTGGTGCTAGCGGAGTCTGTAGAAGGCTCCTGTATACCTGATGTTACAGCTTCACATAATATACTTGCCAGTGTTGATATGCTCACTTCACCTGTGCTGAAAAGCCTTGTCATTGCTGCACTTTCCTCCATCTTGCCATGCCCCTTTGTGTACTAAAGAGACCTGCCTAGTCTAAAAAGACATTCCCTGTTCAGGAAAAAATAGAATGAGCAATCCATGACATGTGGGTAGGTACAGAAAATATTTTCAGCCCTCCAAGCATAGTTGCCAAGCTGTTTTTAGTGGAAAAAGAATTCACTAATAAGTGGCCTCTTCTGGTAGTTGACCCTGGCATTTCAGTCTTCAACATCTTACTGTACCTATAAAAGATGTTGCTTTGTACAAAGCCTCTGTTGACAGAAAGTTTGGGATGCACTTGAAGGCTCTTTTTTATGGATTTCCTAGAACATGTCATGACACAAATCCCCAGAATGTCTTGATTTCTGTTCAGATGCACAGATTCTTGTAGCTCAAAGCCTGGTCAGCTGAAGCTGCCTATAAAAGACAACTCGCACATATGCCCTTGGTTAGGCTCTTGACAAATTCATCAGATATGTCACAGGAGGAAAGTTCCTTCTTCCACAGTGGATGGTTCCAAAATCCCCTTCTTCGGGGGATTCTACCACCTTAAAATGCAGAGCACTTACACCTTACCCAGACTTCAACTGTTAAGCTAAAATTCAACCACTGCTTTTGGAGCAAGGGCTGGAACACAAAATCTCCCAAGTCTACCTGAAAGCACAATAAAGAGGGTGCCCTTGCTCCTAAGAGTGTGGGGACATCTTTTACAGTTTGTCTTTTTCTAGGTTACAGACATCCCAGACCTATGGATTCACTCTATGGTTTCAAATGAGTACAGAATAAAGTTCAAACTCTTCCTCTTCACTACTTGGGTCTTTCAAATCAACCAAAATATGCTCAATGACAGACAGATTTGTAGAACACGTTAAACAGTCTTTTGTCCCAGTCCACTGAGGACAGATTTTTATTCAAAACTGTTCACAATACCAAAATCCAACAGTGGTTTTCAACCTATCCTGGACTTAAAATCCTAAATGTACCCCCTAGTTCCAAGGTCAGTTATTGCTTCTCTGAGACAAACAAAATATCTTGCATCTGCATATTTCCATTTACCCTCTTTATCAGTGCTTTCTGAAGTAGAAGTTTCCAGTTTGTTGCACTGCCATTTGGCCTATTCTCTGCTCCCAGGATATTCACAAAAATACTTGCACTAGTTCTTGCCCTCTCAAGAACCCAGGGCTTTCTGGTCACAGGGTATCTAGATGGCCTTTTCTGAAGTACTCCTCTCCCTGCCAGCACTTTTCGTAGAAAACAAACATTTCCAGTTTGTTGGACTGCCATTTGGCCTATACTCTGCTTCCAGAGTATTCACAAAAAGTACTTAAACCCCTTCTTGCTCTCTCAAGAACTCAAGGCATTCTAGTCACAGGGTATCTGGATGATCTTCTGAATGAAGTATCTAAGTTCTGCCATAGAAAGCATTAACAAATGCCAGTTTCTAAGGCTTTGGAGGAGTGTTTCAATCTAACAGTTCAGGCAACATGGTCACCAGAGGAAGCCAAGCTCCCCATCAACATTTTTCAGCTTTGAGTGATCAACTGGCTCTGCACCACTGGACTTACCTTCTTTAGGGACACCCAATCGGGTTGCAGTCAGAAAATGCTATGGCTGTGGCCTACATCAGTCACTCTGGGGGCACCAGGAGTCATACATCCTTGAAGGAAACAAGCCTGATAAAGTAATGGATGGGAAAACACTGTCCAGTGATCTCTGCTGTCCATATCTCAGGTGTCAACAATTGAAAGGTGGTCTGTCTGGTCCAAGGGGAATGGGCTCTTTACCTTCCACTCCACTGTTCAATTCGGTATGCCAGAGATGGGGAAATCCAGGTGTGGATATCCTGGCCTCCAGGTACAACTACAAATTGATTATTTGTGCACTAAACTGGCCCATAAGAACCTGGTACGCAGACATACTCAGACGTCTTGGAGATGGCTGATTCCAAACAGGTCAGACCTGCTATGTCAAGGACCCCTGTTCTATCCTTCTTCTCATTCACAGGTTGTAAGGCCATGGCTGTTGAAACCTGGGTTTTAAGAGACAGAGAAGTCTCTGAGTCTGTCATTCCCACATTCCTAAAAAGCAAGCAAAGCCACATACAGAAAGATCTATGATCCTTCTTTGCCTGGTATGAACATAGGCAGTTAAATACCAGAGATTATTCTGTGCCTTACATTCTGGCCTTCCTACAATCAAGCCTCGACTCAATCTTGGCCTAAAGTACTCTTAAGGGAAAGGTTTTGGCTTTGCCCCTTATTTAAAAAATAACAAAACTCTGGCCTCACTTGGTTTTAAGGACCTTTATTCAAAGTGTTTCTCTGATCCAACCACCCTTTTTTGCAGAAACCTCCCTTTGAAACCATTAGGAAACCCCCTTTGGATGCCCTCTCCTGGTTTCTTGGCGGCTGTCACATCTGTCATGCGTACTGACTCCACCTTGTAAGGTTCCATTCTTCATACATAACAAGAACAACATAGTCTTGTCCAAGAGACCCTCCTTTCTCCCTTAGGTGGTATCAGTCTTCCACCTCAATAAAGAAATAGTCCTTCATTCATTGTGCCCAAAGCACCCAAATGAGATTGCTCTTTGGTGTCTGGACGTGGTCATTGTCATTGGAGTCTACCCCAACACTACAGCTTCTATCAAAAAAATGGACTCTTCATCTTACCCTCAGGACCTCACAAATGATATCTGCTTCAAGATTCGCCATCACTAGGTGGGTAAGACAACAAATCTCAAGAGCACCCTATAATACAAAGCACCTTCTGCATTAATACGTGCTCACTCTACCAGATCGGTAGGTGCTTCTGGGTATTCCCACATAAAGTTTCTGTGGTCCAGCTTAGTAAAGCTGCTGCCTTTTCCTCTGCCCATATCTTTTCAAAGTTCTATCAGGTGAATGTCCAATCTTCTGCAGATGCAGATTTTGGTCACAAGATTCTTGCAGCTGCAATTTAAGCTCAGTCTGTTGACCCTTGTTATTGTTGGGTCTGTTGGCACAATTCTGTTTGCCTTGTTGTTGCTCGCCCTTCTTATTCATTTCTTGGAGAGTTTCCAGGGTCTATGAATATCAAGCCTGTGTCCTGCATTGTACATCTAAGATAACATGAATTTTGACTTGCCCTTAAACTGTATCTTGAAGTACAGGATACAGGCCATCGTCACCTCTGTTATATGTTACTCTGCATTGCTTGGTATAAAATGGAGGACTCGCAGAGGTAGGGTAAAATTATAGGGGGGAATGCCCAAGGGGTGTGTGTTCGAAGGCTTGGCCAGTGTCCAATCACCTGAAGGTACCAGCCTATAACCCAAGGTCTATGAATTACAAGCCTTTTATCCTGTACTGTACTTCGTGATATGTAATTTATGGGTTATATAGTTAGTCTGGCTGAAAAAAAGGCAAACGTCCGTCCAGTTCAACCAAAAAAAAAAAAAGTTATAATCCTATACCCACAGTTGATCCAGAGGAAGACAAAAAAAACCCCAGCAAACCATGATCCAATTTGCTCTTGCTGGGAAAAGAGATTCCTTCCTTATCCCCCGAGAGGCAATCGGATATTCCCTGGATCAACTTTTTACCTATAAACGTTAGTATCCAGTTATATTCTGTGTATCTAAGAAAGAATCCAGGTCTTTTTTGAAGCAATCCACTGAGCTGGCCAGAACCAACTCTAGAGGGAGTCTATTTCACATTTTCACAGCTCTCACTGTGAAAAAACCTTTCTGTGTTTGGAGATTACATTTCTTTTCCTCCAGACATAAAGAGAGCCCCCTTGTCCTCTGTGGTGACCTCAGGGTGAATAGCTCTACACCGAGTTCACTATATGAACCACTGATGTATTTTTTACATGTTGATCATATCCCCCCTTAATCTCCTCTTCTCAAGAGAGAATAAATTCAGTTCCTCTAATCTTCCCTCATAGCTGAGCTCCTCAATGCCTCTTATCAGTTTGGTTGCCCTTCTCTGTACTTTCTCCAGTTCCCCAATGTTCTTTTTGTGAATTGGTGCCCAAAACTGAACTGCATATTCCAGATGAGGTCTTACTAATGATTTGTACCGGGGTAATATGATATCTCTCTCTCTGGAGTATATACCTCTTTTAATACAAGAGAGGATTTTGCTCGCTTTAGAAACCGCAGCTTGGCATTGCATGCCATTATTAAGCTTGAGATCTACCAGAACTTCCAGATCCTTCTCCACCATTGATTCCTCCAGTTCTACCCCCCTCTAGTATGTATGATGCATGCATATTCCTAGCCCCCAAGTAAATCAGAGCTCCATTTTGTTTTCTTTATGGTCCATTGAGGGACACCATAACAGTCTTTTAGAGGACTGAACACTGGTAAAAAAAAAAAAAAAAAAAAAAGCTAAGCCAGCACGCTGTATAATCCCACCTACAACAGTCATGCCTTAGTTAATTTGCTTGTGTCATAAAAGGTTGAAAGCTTACTCCTCACCTCTACTGGGATACACCTTGTGTGTGTTTTTGCTATTTTTTTCTCTTCTATCAACATTTCTGATTGTTTGTGGATGTTGTTGTCTTCTCTTCAGTCAAGTCTTCAAACAACAAGTTGCTGAGCTGGATTTATCCAGCTAATCCATGGCACTTTCTTTGGAAGCCATAACTGCTGCCTTCTGCACTGAATAATGTAGCATTAGCCTGTAATGAGACCGTAGGACACTAGTTTCTGCTATGGCATTTATGGTGTACTGCTTTGTTAGTGTTACAGTGCTTTGGGAGTAGGCCCAAAGAGATGATGGAAGGTTATCTTCAGGCACTGGGCTCTGCATATGATGCTTTCCAGATCTTTGGGTACTGTCAACCTCAGGACCCTCACCTGTTTTTAGAGTAATCTTGATCTTTCCAAGTCTCTTTCACACGGATGTCTGGTATCTGCACTTTAAGCTATGTATTTTGGTGTTTTCCATGTCTGTATGCACTCTGTCAGCAGCGAAACGTTGATGCCTTTGGGGCAGTGGAACAGCCTCTGATGTGCTAGTCTCTAGTGTCTATCCGTGATGTAGATATCCTGGTAAATGCAATCTGCTCTATCTCTCTGCATAGGCCGCTGTTCACCCCCATAAGTACTCATCAGTTAACCTCAGAGTTTGTTACCAATGTTGGAGCAGTGACAAAGTCCCCATGGTTCTCCTGTGATATTCCAGAGGAATTGCTGAAGGTATACTTGAATTTCACCATTAAGCACTACTTTGAGCATACAGGATCAACCTGATGATACAGATGCATGGTGTTTTGCTGTTTCTGCAGGCTCTCAAACCTGCCTTCTACCCTCTTATCTAAAAAACTTCCTAACTGAGGACCAGAAACTCCCTCTTCACTCATGACCTGTTCCAGATCATGTAAAGAAGCTTTTACCTTTAGATACAGATTTCTGGATACATGGTCTCTATATTTAGTGAACTTTCCAGTCCTTAAGTTGATTAGGCAACATCTTCTTGAATGATGATTTTACTGTTAGGGACTTTTACTGATGCCAATAGCTGCAGCGCTGATCATTGTATTCTGACCATGGGGAGTTCCCTTCTTCTCAGTCCAATCAATACTGATATATTTAAACTTTGTGTATCAGTACTGTTTGCACTGAGAAGAAAGGAACATCCCAAAAACTTGTGCTAAAAATGCAACTGTTATTTATAAATAAAAAAATAGTATCATGGACAGTACTTTTTGTTGCAAGCGCACTAATACAACTGCAGTCACCTCAGGTGTGGTAACTACAAAAATCTTTTTTTTTTTCTTTGATTTGCCACCCCTTTGCATTTGATTTTAAAATTGCAATTGGGCTGTGCAAAAACTGCTAAATTGAGCCACAACACCCTGTACCACATCTAGCATGAATCTAAGTCCTGTTTTGCTGCAGGCTGATGATTTATTGCTAGAACTTGATAATGATGCATAGATGTCAGTCGGAAGGCTGTCTCTAGTATTACATTTTGGTTTTCATGTTCATGCTAATATAAATAAATAGAACCAGTATGAATGGGTATAATGTGTATGTACATTGTATGCACAAATATTAGGCAAGCTGTATTTTTGAGGATTAATTTAATTATTGAACAACTACAGTGCTCTCGGTCAATCCAAAATGTTAATAAACCTCAAACCTAAATATTTAAGAAAGTAAAAAAGAGGTTTTGGCTTTCTTAGGAGAATATCTATGTGTGCACAATTATTGGGCAACTATTGGTGTGCAGATTTATTATGCAACTAAATGAAAAACAAACATGTTTCCCTCTCACTGTTAAATTGAGAATAATAAACAACTCAAAATTTACAAATAAACATTTCTGACATTTAAAAAAAAAAAAAAAAGAAAATCAATGACCAATATAGCCCACCCTTATTTTCAATAAGAGTCGTAAGAGGTGTACTGTTTTCCTTCACTGTAAATCTCCCTTTTAAGAAGGGCCCACAAGTTCTCAGTAGGGTTTAGGCCAAGTGAGGAGGGCCATGTTATTATTTCATCTTTAAGGCCTTTACTGGCAAGCCACGCAGTGGAGTACTTCGATGCATATGATGGAGCATTGCCTTGCATAAATATCATGGTCTTCTTGAAAGATGCAGACTTTTTCCTGTACCAGTGCTTGAAAAAAGTGTCTTTTAAAAATTGGCAGTAGGTTTGGGAGTTGATTTTGAGTCCATCTTCAACCCGAAAAGGTCAAACTAGCTAATGTTTAATAATACCAGTACCCCACCTCCATTTTGCTGTTATGTGAGTTGAAGTGGAGCTCTGTGCTCGCTACTGATCCAGCCAGGGGCCCATTTATCTGGTCCATCAAGGGTCACCCTCATCTCATTAGTCCATTAAACCTTTGAAATATCTGTCTTTGGGATGTTTTTTGGCCCAGTCTTGACATTTCAATTTGTGTGTCTTGTTCAGTGGTCATCTGGTTTCAGCCTTCCTTACCTTGGCCATGTCTCTGAGCACTGAACACTTTGTACAGGGCACTCCAGGTAGGTTGCAGTTCTGGAATGTGACAGCACTGGAGGTTAATGGGTTCCTGGTAGCTTCATATTTGATTCTTCTCAAATCATTGGAAATTAATTTGCATCTTTTTTTCTCAGCACTTTTGTTGCAACCCTGTTGACTTTGCAACAAAATGTTTTACGGTTCTTTGATCATGCCCCAATATCTTAGGCATTTCATGAGTGCTGCATCTCTCTGAAAGACTTTTTAACAATTTTTTACTTTTCAGAGTCCATTAAATCTCTTTTTTGGTCCATTTTGCCTGAGGAAAAGAGGCTGCCTAATAATTAAGCACACCTTGATATAGGGTGTTGACACCCTCCCTCATTGCACAAACACACATCACATGATATGCTTAAATCCAATAAGCATTCAGGTTTATACAGCTTGGAGTTGGACAGTATGCATAAAAATGATGATTTGGTCAAAATACTCGCCTAATAATTGTTCACACAGTGTAGGATGGTAATATCTGTTAATACAACCTTACAGCCAGTGTGCTTCAGAGGAAAGGCTTACAAGCCAAGCATGAAGTAGTCTTTTATCACACTGGTCTGAGCATCAGTAAACTGCTGGTAGAAATGCTGTACTTGGGACTGATTTGGATGGCTTGGTATGAGCAGGTTAAAAATCTTTTATTTTCCTTGAGTGTTTGTAATGGCATCTGTGTTTATAGGTCCTGAACGAGGCAGTAGGCGCCATGATGTATCACACTATAACACTAACACGTGAAGACCTGGAAAAGTTCAAGTCTCTGCGAGTTATAGTGCGGATAGGCAGCGGATACGACAACATTGACATCAAGGCTGCCGGAGACTTGGGTATGTGACTGCAATGCAAATGATGGGACAATCACACTTAGAGGCTTGTTCACAAAGAGTGCAGGACAGTAATGGGCAGAGCTCAATAACCTCTTTTTACCCTTTGCCACTATTTTTTACCAGGAAGAGTGTGAAGATGGGTGTGTGTGGGTGGGGGGGGGGGGGGGGTAAGGGGGCACTGCAAGGGTTTTTTCTTAATCCCAAAATTGGGCTTTAAATATGAAACAATAGGGTGGATTTACTAAAACTGGAGAGGGCAAAATCTGGTGCAGCTGTCATGGTAGCCAATCAGCTTCTAACTTCAGCTTGTTCATTTGTCAAGCTTTGACAAAAAAAATCTGGAAGCTGATTGGTTTCTATTCAGAGCTGCAGCAGATTTTGCACTCTCCAGCTTTAGTAAATCAACCTCCATGTTTCTAAATTATAGACATATTTTTTGTCTTTGAGATTGCTAATTTTGCTTCTTCTATGGACTCATTCAAATGAGTATAACTGGTTAAATTGTTGTTGCTGGTGTTTAATTTGTCACCACTAGCTGCTAAATGAATGTTTTCAGTACAAGCCATCACATAAACTGCTGTCTTCATTCTCTTTAGTACCATTGTGTTAATAATGGGATTCAGAGCTGAATAAACTTTGTCACCACAAACGCTAATATCATTCTATCATCTACAAAGCAGAGAAAATATTTCCAGTTTGTTCTCTCTCTTGAATGCAATCATAGTGTAAAGCTTGATTGTCAGAGTACAGATACAGGAGATCCTCTCCAGATGTCCTCTCCAGTATTTAGATACTATAGATTGATAAGTTCCAAGTGTGTTTTTTTTTTCTTTTAAACTACATAGTGGGCCCAAGTACTTCATATAAGCAAATGTGCTTCTAGCATTCATAAATTGTTACTTTTAAAAATACATTATATTTATTATAAATATTTAATGTTTGGAAATGTGTTTTTTCTGTGTCTATATTATTATATTAATGAATTTGGCACAGAACTCTCCCATTGAGCCCTAAGACTGTATGGGGGAGATTTTATTAGTGTGCTCAAAGCAGCTCAAAATCAGCTCTACATCTATTTAAAACATGGATCTGAGGACTGGTGCACATCTGGTTATATGAAAAAACATCACCCACATAGTATATTGCACAACAAAATCCAGGCCTTCTGGCACAGGGGTTACAAATGCACGTAAATCCTACTGTAGATCCTTTGCTTAGATAAGAGACAACCTGATTGTATCAAATAGCTCCCGATTCATAAGAAATCTTCTTCGCAGGCTTCAAAGATTTGGATGTTGTTTGATCTTGTACACTTCCCCTGATTTACAGTTACATTGAATAGGCGTTGTTCATATAGTATCATCCACAGCTGTTGTATCAGGAGAGTTCTAAACTCGCTCTAACGTGTCACCTGGATAATCAGTGGTTCCACTATGCCATGTACATACTATGAGGGAGATTTACTAAAACCAGCACACTCAGATTCTGGAAGCAGCTGTGCATGGTAGCCAATCAGCTTCTAACTTCAGCTTGTTCAGCTAAAGCAGATGTCCAGTCTCCTCTGAAAAAAAAAATTAGTCAGCAGCTTCAAAAACTGTAGCTGCTGACTTTTTAAAAAAACAACCACTCGCCTGTCCCACGATCCAGGGGTGTGTTCACCCCAGCCGGGTTCCACGGCCGTCCTCTGTCGCTGGTGACCTGTCATGTGTCCCAGAAGATTGGGTAGAGGGAGGGGGGAAGGAGAACTTCCGCTTCCGATCGCCTAGGCTGTTGGAGCGAAAGTGGGAGCTGGTACCTGTCCAAGTGTGGTCCCTGCTACCATCCCAGTCCCCCCACAAAGTTATAGTTAGTCTGGCTGAAAAAAGACAAACATCCATCTAGTTCAACCATAGAAAATAAAAAAAGTTCTAATCCGATACCCACAGTTGATTCAGAGGAGGCAAAAGAACCCAACAAAGCATGATCCAATTTGCTCCTGCATGGGAAAAAATTCCTTCCCGATCCCCTGAGAGGCAATCGGATATTTCCCTGGATCAACTTTATCCATAAATGTTAGCATCCCGTTATATTCTGTGTATCTAGGAAACAATCCAGGCCTTTTTTTTTAAAGCAGTCCACTGAACTGGCCAGAACCAACTCTTGAGGGAGTCTATTCTACAATTTCACAGCTCTCACTGTGAAGAAACATTTCCGTGTTTGGAGATTAAAATTATTTTCCTCCAGACGTAAAGAGTGCCCCCTTGTCCTCTGTGATGACCTCAGGGTGAATAGCTCTACACCGAGTTCACTATATGAGCCACTGATGTATTTATACATGTTGATCATATCGCCCCTTAATCTCCTCTTCTCAAGAGAGAATAAATTCAGTTCCTCTTTCCTCATAGCTGATCTCCTCCATGCCTCTTATCAGTTTGGTTGCCCTTCTCTGTACTTTCTCCAGTTTCCCCAATGTTCTTTTTGTGAATTGGTGCCCAAAACTGAACTGCAGCTTGGCATTGCATGCCATTATTAAGCTTGTGGTCTACCAAAACTCCCAGATCCTTCTCCACCATTGATTCCCCCAGTTGTACCCCCCCTAGTATGTATGATGCATGCATATTCTTAGCCCCCAAGTGCATAACCTTACATTTATCTACATTAAACCTCATTTGCCACATAGTTGCCCAATTAAACAGTGCATTGAGGTCGGCTTGTAAATTGGAGACTTCCTGTAAGGACGTTATTCCACTGCACAGCTTGGTGTCATCTGCAGAGACTGAAATGGTATTTTTAATTCCAGACCCTATATCATTTATAAATGTATTAAAGTAAGGGTCCCAACACTGAACTGTGGGGTACACCGCTAACAACCCTAGGCCATTCAGATTATGAATCATTAACCACTACTCTCTGAACACAATCTTTTAGCCAGTTTTCTATCCATTTACATACCGATTTTTTTTTTTTTTTTTCCAAGCCTGTAGACTTTACCTTACACATTAGCCATGTGTGGGGAACTGTGTCTAACGCTTTTGCAAAATCAAAGTATACCATGTCCACCACCACCCTCTGTTTTGCTCACCTCCTCATAAAAAGAAATCAGATTTGTTTGACAACTTCTGTCTTTCATGAATCCATGCTGTCTGTTGCTCAAAATATTTTTTTCAAGCAAGAACTCATCCGTGTGGTCTTTTATGTTACTGAATACTCGCCAGTATCTTCCCAACAATAGAAGTTAAACTAACAGGTCTATAATTACTTGGTAAAGATTTTGATCCCTTTTTAAATATTGGCACCACATTGGCCTTACGCCAATCCAGTGGTACTATGCCAGTCATTAGAGTCCCTAAAATTAGTAACAATGGCTTTGAAATGACAGAGCTCAATTCTATAAGGATCCGTGGGTGTATGCCATCCGGTCCAGGTGCTTTTTTCATTTTTATTCTGTCTAAATATTTTTGGATCATATCAATTGTGAGCCAATGTGGATTATCTGGAGCTGTGTCAATACTACGCCCATTATGGACAAGAGCTCCCCCATGCTCCTTTGTATACACAGAGCTGAAGAAGGTATTAAATAAATTTGCCTTCTCTTTGTCCCCAGTCACCCACTCTAGATTATTTTGTAAAGGGCCTACATGCTCGCACTGGACCTTTTTACTAATATATTTGAATAATTTTGGAGGGTTGGTCCTGCTATCTTATGCAATCTGTCATTCGTTTTCAATTTTTCCTTTTTACATATTCTGTTTTATTCTTTGTAATGTTTAAACGATGATAGCATCCCTTCATTTTTATAATTTTTAAAAGGTCTTTCCTTATTATTTATAGCTTTTTTAACTTTGGCCGTAAGCCACATAGGTTTGATATTTAGCCTTCTAAACTTGTTGCCCATGGGAATATATATTGCAGTGTGTTCACATACAGTCTTTTTGAAGAACTTCTATTTCTGTGTTGTGTTCATCAATGCTAATATTCCCTTCCAGTCTATGTCTTCGAGAGCAGCTCTCAGACTTGGAAAATTAGCTCTCTTAAGGTTGAGTGTTTTTATTTTTTCTCGTATGTGCTTGTTGTTTACAGCTAACAATAAATGAAATCATGTTTTGATCACTGCTACCCAGATGTTTTTATATGGACATTAGTAATACACTTTGCATGGTTTGAGATTACCAGGTCCAGCAAAGCATAATTCCTAGTTGGGGCCTCTATGAACTGTAGCATAAAATTGCCCTGTAGTAGGTTTAAAGAATGTTTGTGCTTTAACTGTTCCTGCAGTACCATTACTCCAGTCAATTTCTGGGTAGTTAAAATCACCCATTATTATCACTGTCCCTGCCCTTTTGATCTGTGCAAGGAGCTGAGTCTCCACCTCCTCATAATACTGGGTGGCCTATAACAAACTCCAATGATTACCTTTTGTAGTATGCACCACCATGTGCAGTTCCACCTATAATGCTCCAGCCTCATCACACTCTCCATCAACTAGGTCCTCTTTCACGCTTGTTCTGAGATCACTTCTCACATAGAGACAGACACCACCACCTTTCCTTTGTACCCTGTCTCTCCGAAAGAGAACATAGCCAGGAATATTAATGGCTCAGTCGTTTGAAGAATGAAGCCAAGATTCAGCAATACCAGTTAAATCATAGTTCTGTTCATGCACCAAAGCTTCCACCTCACCTATTTTGCTAGGCAGACTTCTGACATTGGTGAACAAACACTTTAATTCATTGACACCTTTTGCACACGTATATTGCATGTTTTATATTTTCCAATTACCAATTCCAATGGTTGTTTGTAACATGGCAGCCTTCTTATCACCTGCCATAGCCCTCCCCATTTTTCCCCATTCCACCCACCAATAAGGACTGACCTCTATCTGATCTGTCTGCCCCATCATAATCTAATTCTCCTTTCCCCCTCGATCCTAGTTTAAATACTCCTCAAGCCTTCCCATAAACCTCTCGCCTAGCACAGCAGACCCCTTCCATTTAGGTGCAAACCATCTCTAGCATATAGGTTGCACCCCAATGAAAAGTCAGCCAGTCCTCTAGAAACCCAAATCCTTCCCTCTTACACCAGATCTTTAGCCATGCATTGAGTTCTCTAATCTTCCCCTGTCTTTCCTGAGTTGTGTATGGCACAGGTAATATTTCAGAGGATATCACCTTGGAGGTCCTTCCCTTTAACTTGCAGCCTAGTTCTTTAAATTGATTCTTGAGGAACCTCCACCTTCAATGTATTCTGTCATTAATTTCAATTCAATTTTAAATTAACCAAGACAGCTGGGTGATGTCCAGCCCCTCCCAGTAATTTTATGAACCTGGTCCACCACATGCCAAACCCTGGCACCAGGGAGACGGCAAACCATTTGGTTCAGGCAATCCTGGCGGCAAATTATTCTATCAGTCCTTCTGATTTTAGAATCCCCTATTACCACCAGCTGTCTAGGCCTTCCTGCACAATCCTCACCACTCCTCCCAGATGGTCTGCTCTCCCGCCTGTTAGGGATAGCAGTGACACATGTACCTGTAGCACCTTTGACCAATTAACCCCTTCCCTTAATTAACAGACTGAAAGAAGGAAAGGAAAAAATACTTTGTAAAAGGTGATTAAAAAAAGTAAAACCTGCTAGCAAAATAAAAAAACAAGCACCAGCAATCAAAAGCAAAACTGTTTTTAACTTCCCACTTTTTTTTAGATTCCAGCCAGCAAAATGTGCCACATAAATTCAATTGAACTTATATTGTTCCAATGCTGTCTGGAAGGCGTTGAGAGCTTTTTTTTTTTAGGAATACCGTCTTGAGACTCCTATATGCAGTACATTGCAGTGATGCTTCATACAGGGTTCAGGGAACATGCCACTTCTGTTTATCCTGAGCAGACAAATTGTGTTTAAAGAGGTTTTTACAAAGGAGATGTCAATTTGAGAAATATGTGTGTCTTTTAGGAGTGGCTGTGTGCAACATCCCATCAGCGGCTGTTGAAGAGACGGCTGATTCTACAGTCTGTCACATCCTTAATCTTTACCGAAGGAACACATGGCTGTACCAGGCACTGCGGGAAGGGACTCGGGTACACAGTGTGGAGCAGATAAGAGAAGTAGCGTCCGGAGCTGCCCGGGTACGCGGAGAGACCCTTGGCTTAATAGGATTTGGTAAGTACAATGCTGGAGAGCTGGTTATAATGGGCCTTGTATTACAAATTCCAGACCAGTTAATTGGAAACTACACTGCCCTGAACAACAAGAGGTTGGAGAAGAGAATCTGGTTGGAAGCTAAGGCAACACATAACAGCTCTTATTTTAGACACTCTTACATAGCCGTCCCTTTTATTACAATCATTGTATTAAAATTAAATGATTAAATTAAAATATTTCCCGTGGGGTAGTTGCTGCAGCAGTGGGCAGTAATTACAAAGCATTTTACTGTTAAATTTGAATGTTGTTAATTGCAACCCAGGGGGAGCAGTGCTATGTGCCTCTAATTTTGCAATGATGTGTGCGCCCCCCCCCCCTCCCTAGCTCAAAATGGTTTCTTGTAGCCTTTATTTATTTTTTGTCCTGACCTGTTGTTAAGAGCCTAAATTGTTCTGTTCCAGTAGAAATGTAAAGATGAATATGGTTGCAGTGGATTATGATCTCAGCATCTTGCTAGTGTATTAATATTCATTTCACTGATTTAATTTTATTTGTTTTTTTTGGATTTGGATTGCTTGGACAGTTTTCTATAAATATAGACTGGGAGGGGTGTTGCAGTTTTTAAAACATGGGATCAAATTTAACATTGGCATTCATGGAGTGATGTCATGTGCAAGATAATGTTGTGCCATAGTGCAGCCTTTCACATCCAGGGTTCCATGGCACTCCAGGTTTCCTTTGAGGTTTCTAGGTGTTCCTTGAGCAGTGGGAGATTGATCCCCTGCCTCCACTTACCACCAGTGTAAGATGGGTTATTTTCTCCACTGACTACTAATGTATAAGAGCATTTTTCTACTGATTATCAAATGTAAGGGGGCATTTTATCACTGATTATCAATATAAGGGGGGCACTTCTCTACTGACTACCAATGTATAGTGGCACTTCTCCATGGACTACCGGTGTAAAGGAGCACTTCTCCACTGACCATCAATATAAGAAGGCACTTCTCTACTGACCATCAATGTAAATGGGCACTTCAACACAGACAACCAATGTAATCGGGTACTTCTCTACTGACCGCAAATTTAGGGAGCACTTCACTGGACTGCCAGTGTAATGGGACCAATGTAATGGACCATTTCTTCACTGACCATTAATATAAGGGGGCACTTCTCTGCACACCACAAATAACACTTCTCAACTGACCATGTAGGACACTACAGTTTTCGCTATGTTACCTTTCTACCCCTTATTATTAATCATTTTATGATTATTACTGTAAATAATATTGTGTTATAGAGTGGAGAAGTTATAATAATGCTCCACACACTGTAGGCTGAACACACTAGGTATTTCTTCTTTTCTATCTTTTAAATTAAAAAAAAAAAAAAAAACATTTAACAACTTTCTGAGTGTTGTAGAGATATAATCATTTTATACTGGGGTTTCTTGGAGCAGAAAATTATTTCAAGGGATTCTCCAGAGGAAAAATATTGAGAACTGCTGATCTAGTGATTCAGTAGGCAAATGCATTGCATGCTTTTTGTGAGATGACCACTCCCGCTCTCACTGTATTGTAGTAATGTCTGCTGCACATAAGGAGCTTTTCATCACTTCCAGTGCTGCTGCCATTAGTAATCAGCTTCTTTCTTCTAATCTTTAACCCCCTATACACAGCAAATTACATCACACTGGTAATCACTGAATGCAACTGGCTAAACCCGTGATGATCGTGCATAGTTACTTGGCATTAAGCCTACAGGCTGAGCCAGCTTTACCATTTATTCTGTCATTGTGCTCTGACTCCAATGACTCCAATGTTGTATTTTTGCTTTTTAAAGCTGCCTGAATAATGGTATACTGGTATATCTGTTCTGTAAAGTGTCTCCTATGGATAGTTGGATGTTTGTAAAATAAAAACTTTATCAAATGACCGTTTGGTTTAAAATCAAAGATAAAGAATTTGCAAGGTCTCAGTTGTGTTCAAGTAGAACTATATGCAAACCTTTTTTTTTCAGTTTTTGGTTAGAGTAAAGCAGGCCGTACACGGGTTGAATTCTGAACAAATTTTCTTTCAAAAATCTTTTCTAAGAATTTTCGTTTGAAATTCGCACCATTAATGGGCCAAAGCAATGGTTGAAATTTGAGTCATCGGTTTATGTTGGAAATTTTTTTTTTTTTTAAAAACTAACGAATTTTATAATAAATGATGGTAGAATCGTATAAGAAATGTAATTGAAAAAACCAAATGAGCGAGAACTGTGATCTGGAAAGTAAAGAAAGTTCTTGACCACAAAAATTATTTTCTGCAGCAGCACGAGGTGAAATTGAAGGCTCGGTTGGTCGAATTTTGAAATCAATGGTGGTACCAAGGAGTAAAAAATGCACAAAATGTCTGATTTTCGAAAGAAATTTCATTCGGGATTCAACCCATGCATGGCTTGCATGAGGGAGGGTTATAACCATCTGTCAGATTTTTGTTTTGCCATCTTTGTCCCACTGAGGACAAAACAGGAAGCAAGAGGAAATCCCTGAAAATTCAGGGACTTCCTTGCCCCCCCCAGGTTACCAGGTTAGATTTCCCTCTGTTAGTGTTCTGAGGACAACCCAAAATTTGGGATTTTCTTTTACTTTTCATTTTCAATGATAACAGTGAAAATGGAGAGAGTGAATCTCCCTAATGGGGCACAGACCGCAAATAACAAACCTAACAAATGTTCTAATACATCTCCATTCTATCTAAAAGTAAAGAAAAGTTTAGTCTTTAACTACTTTAATGTCATTTCACAATATCATTGAGGAGCTGCAGTGAAAAATATAAGCAGCTACTTAAAACTGTATCTGCTGACTTTTAATAAACAACCACTCACCTGTCCCACATTCCAGCAGTGTGTTTACCTCAGTCAGGTTCACCAGCCGTCTTCTGTCCCCGGTGCCGGCATCTTAAGTGTGGGTACCCAGCTGTGACAGCAGACTGGCGCACACTGCGCATTCACGAGTAGCATTGTGCTATGTAAATGGGACAGGTCCCAGAAGACTGGGGAGGAAAACTTCCGCTTCAGATCCCCTAGGTGGTTGGGGTAGAATTGGGAACGGTACCTATCAAAATCGGGTACGCACTCCTCAACGGTGTCAACAATTGCTGTATGTGTATGTATGGGTCCAAGAATCTCTGAACAGCCTTGATGGTTGGAGTAGTTGGAAAATGCATTGCCATAAAATCTGTGCGGATCAATCTGTATGTTTAAAGCAGAAATGTGAGTTGCCTGAAATAATACCTGAACCACGGAATTGGTTTCCAAAAAGACTGGCAGAGGGCAAAGCACTAGTCACTACTGGCTCTGTGTAGATGCAGCCATCATGATAGAGAAGCAGGGCTCTGCTTGCTCACGTCAAAGTTCCCCCCCGTTGACTGGTTGTCTAAAGGTTAGGCTGCTTTCACACTGATCTGATTTTCTGCTGCTTAAAAACGCATATGCATTTTTGCTATGGATCAGCATGACAGTAGCCTTAGTGTGGAGGAAGCACAGATATACAGAATGAAGAAGCAAGGAGATCCTTGCACTGCCAGTCCTCGGGTATAGATTTCTGTGTAGAAAAATTGAGCCAAGTTTTTTTTTTTTTAAAGAGTTTTATTAGCCATAGCAAAAAAAAAAAAAAATGTCAATACATCATGACATTGTTAATCGGCTTCTGTCAAAAGGACAAATGTGGAAAACTTTTCATTGATGAGCGGCTGCAGTAACTGATAAGTGTATTCTGATAGTGGAGGGCAGCACTGTCACAATACAACAACCCCTTGTAGTTGGGTATGGGTGGGGAGGAAATGTATTTATTTATTTTTTTTGGCTTTTGTTTTAATATAAATAAATAAAAGAATCCTCCATTTACATTAATGAGGTTTTCCTACAATTCCAGAGTTTTTCTGATTCAGAATGGTTCCAGATTCCATCCTCTTGGACCTATTGACTGGCTTTTGTTTTTTATTTAGTGCTCCCATTTGTATTTCAAATATTTGTTTCTATAGGAATCCAATTGTCCTGTGATCTTGGGAACAAATCCCTACTGAGTTTTTGAAATTACATTATCTTTTATGGAACTCCTCTCCCTGAACCATAGATTGGAGATTACCTTCTAAGATTAGTGATTTCTTATATCTTGCTTAGTTTCCCTTCCTAACCTCCAGAGCAAGGCTCATGATGCTTAAAGTTCACTTTTTCAGAAACAATTGAAAGTTGAAGTAATACGCAACACCCTCCCCACGGTATTTGTGGGTGATTTTAAATCCCTGCTTTTCTTCCCCTTCTTTCTGTAGGGATTCTGGGACAGATCAGAGTGATTCTGATTGGCCATTGCTGGCACATGTCCACCTTGACCAATTGGAATTGCTCTGATCTGTCCTGGAAGCCCTACAGAAAGAAGAGGAAGATTCCTCAGACCATTACACCAGCTGCATGGGTACTGACGGCCTACCCCCCATGGAGGTAAGTACAGTGAGGGTGGGGAGGGTGTAGATCAGGGGTCTGCAAACTTTCCAAAGAAAGGGCCAGTTTACTGAAGTTCACATTAGCGGGGCCAGCTGTGCCCAGTGGGAGTAAACTGTGCCCGATCTTTGGTATTAGGGGGAGAAAAAGTTGGTGCCAGTGGGAGTATTAATGCTCCATTGTTGGTGTCAGTGGAAGGAATTATGCCCCATCATTGGTGTCAGTGGAAGGATAGTCCCCCATTGTTGGTGTCAATGTTAGGAATATTGTCTCAAGGTCCTGATAAAGACAAGCAAAGGGCCGCATCTGGAGACCACTGGTATAGAATGTTAGTTCACCTTTTCTTTGTTATTTTCTTTAGGGCTTTTTATTTGCTGTTGGATATCGATGTATATTAATTTTCCTTAATTCACAAAGTAACTGCTTGATCCAGCCAGGAAATTAGGTAGACTCTGTCTGACTTTACTGTCCATGGCCCCTGTTTTTTCATTCAAGGAATTTCAATGTTTCCAGTCATGGAGGCTAAGTATCTGCCAAGGAATGCCCACTTCTCCAAAACTGCTCCACCCATGAAGGCACTTTATTTGCATAAGTCCCAATGCTTGCATCAGGGCTTAGGGCTGTATGAATGGCAAGGTGCTGTCATGCTTTCTGGAAACTATGTACAGCACATTGCTGGAAGCTCCCACTAGCCATAATTTACCTCAGTTGCATATAGAAGCACAGAGGCCTAGTGATTACATCACTGGGTCTAAAATAAAGCATGTAATAAAAGGAAAATGTTTCAATAAAAAATATCATTATAATGCTGATGAAGGGGATAGTTTGGAACCAGGGAAAGCTAAATATAAGCAGGTTAAACTTAAGCTTAGCACTCCTGAATGTTTACAATAGGATGGAAATCTTCACTTTTGACTTCAGGTCCAGTAAAGAATTATTTCTAGTTGACAAGAAACGTTAAATGCAAGATACTTGACTTATGCACAGCTTAATGCATTGCACCGTCAAGAATAGTTTATGCTGAAAACATGTTTTCTCTTGTCCGTGCATTTTACTCTGTTTTGAAAATGTATGACAACATGTTTATTGTAAATGAGCTCTTCACTATTAGTGTCCATAGCTGTACAGATTTGCCACCTAGAATGTTTGTGATCTGCTAGTCATCCCTACAACTATGTTTCTCCATAACCAACTTTAGCTTCTTTCATGGATATTCATTACTTGAAGGAATTGTTCCCTTTTTCTACAGGGTGCTTGATATCATGACAGATAGACATTAAGTGCCTTCAAAGCTCTCATTATCCTCTGAATTGCCAGAATGCATAGACTCTTCAGCCAGCCTTTGAGAAACAGCATGAAAAATCACACCACCTGTGTGGCACAAGGCCCAACCTGGCCTTAGACTTGAGTTCAGTGTCTTCTGCCCTGTTGGCTTTCAGCAGTTTTGAGCCATTCTCATGTTTTACGGTACTAACAGATAGACCTCACCACCATATGGCAAGTGGAAAGATCAGTTGCATAGGTTTGGATTTCTTGTCCACACACTGCTGTTTGTGCTGAGTTTAGTTAGTGCTGTCTGTCCACTCATAAGCATAAATGCGTATGCTCATCTGAGCCCTGTTTAGGGTAGTCAGATCTTGCTTGAATGTTCTGCTACCCTTCTGTCTACTCTTGCTGCTGGCGTTTTCCCTCTAACTGCAGCTATCCAGAGTGGTCATCATCACTCTGGCTTTTGGAGTACCATATCTGGGCCTGGTTAGACTGGATGTTGCAAGGATAGCCTGTAAATTACTTTCTGGCATTCTCCAGGTTTGGGTAAAAATTAGCTGTGGAACACTTTCCAGGTCCAGAGCCACTGGCAACTGCCTCAGCACTAGCTCTTTCTGTGAAGGCTTACTAAAGTGAGTAGGCTGTGCATGTCAAGCATTGGGATCTAACCCAGTTGCATAGATCACTGGGTGCCATCAATCCTCGATTTTCCACCGGTTTTGCTGTGGAAGGAGTGAACACGGTGGAGCTCCCACTGGGTGAAGAGTTGTGCGCTCTATGATTTTTCCTGCCATACATCGTTGAGGAAGCATATCCCTGCTGCTGCTTCTGCTTGCAGTGAGCCACATGGAACTTTGACCTTCTATCCTTTTCTGATGCCCATCTACAGTGACTTTGGTCAACTCCAGCCATCCAATCCTCACCTGAGGCCTTGCCCTTTATTTATATACCACCCTGAGCCTATGTGCTGCTTTACCACCACGTAGTTACAACATGTCTAATTCTAGACGTGAAAGGGACAGTCCCACTGTACTGAGGGCCCCTGACTTACTCTCTGCTTGCGGCTCCGGGGCTTCTTACAACATGCCTACTGACAGTGCCAACATCTGCAGTCGTGTTTCTCTTTAGCTCAGTTGGGTGGCTGGATCCTCTGCGCTTTTGACTGAAATATTTACCACGGTCATACAAGACTTTATGACCCAAATCACCCAGTTATTTGCTGAGGCCACGAGCACGGTCCTGCATTTTCTTCAGCAAATTCCATATCTGATATACTTACACCCTTTTGGGTTGAAAACCATTGGCTGCAAAGTCTGCTTCTGAATCGCTCAAGTACTTGACTTGCCCCAAAGGCTTGCAGTCTTCTTGAAGCAATGCACACCACTCTGAAACTAGAGGATGAAGTATGTTGCTTCTACCAGTGATTTTCTCAAAGACATTTCCTTTGTACTCGATTTTCCCACTATTTCTCAAGGTTGCTTATTAGCCCTGTATCTATTTTGTGAATATTTTGTATAGAAGTTGTCCATTTTAACTGGTGATCCAGCCGTGTCTTACTTTAACAAGGAGCTTACTACTATGGTAGAGATTATTACTTTGTCAAAGTATGACTGACTGGTCAAAATCCTTTAAAAGAATTCTAACCACTGCTGTGGTTGATCCTCTTGCTTTTTGATCATGTGAGCAGATGGCTGCAGTGATAAATTTCAGCACTGGAGCCACTCTGTACAAGAAGAGTTTGATCTGTATGTCCTTCAAGGGATATTTGTCTCTTTAGACCAACACTTGATAACATATGAAGGATGCTAGCGGTGGCAAGAACACCCATCTTCCTCAGCAGAAATTGTCTAAGCAAGGGGCAGCAAAGTCTTCTCCCCCTCTAAATGTCTTTTTATTTCTCCTCTACCTTGACCACCCTCCTCATCAAGAACCCCAAAAACATGGCTCCCTGTCCATCTACAAAGTCTTCAGTCAGTGCTGCTTCACAAGGAAGTATTCTCTGTCTATCATTTTGCTTTATTTGTCAACCTACGTCTACAATATTAATATAAATCATGAACTTTTACTCCATTAAATAATCAGTCACTATTGTATTTAAAAATTTGTGTTTTCATATTTCTATATTTGGATATAGTAGGGACAAATTAAAAATCCTGTCAGGTTGTATTTCTATCTGGGGCTTTGTTGGTGAGATTTCCCCTTTCTTCCTATCCTGTTACTGTTTATAAAATGGGAAGTGGAGGGAAAATCTGCAAAAATAACACAGAAATAAAAATCAGACTGGGGTTCTCACACTCTACTAAATAAAAACATTTGTATTTTTGTCTTTATTGCTGTTGGAGAGTTCCCCTCGCTTCCTGCCCTGTAAAATGCTGTCAGCCTGGACAGGACGTGAGGGGTAGTCTCTCTAATGGAACGCCAGGTAGTTGCAAAAATCTGACCAAGGTTGTTACCCTTCTCCACTCCATGGAAAGCCAGAAAAATGTTTTTGGCCTGGCACACACGTAAATGAATTTGCAGACTGTATTACTATTATCATCATCTGGACTGAATTGTAAAGTCATAATGGACTGCTCTGTGTGGTTTTCAAACACATTGATTAGACACTTTCGTGCTCAGAAAAAATGTATTTATTTAGGAATGAGGTGTGTATATATATATATATATATATATGTCATTTCTTCAGTGTTGTCCCATGAAAAGATATAAAATATTTACAAAAATGTGAGGGGTGTACTCCTGTGAGATACTGTGTATATTTTATAGGTTAGGGTCGTTTATTAAATAATAGAGCTGACAATTTTATGCATTGAGGGTGCGCAGCTCATAGTAGGTCCACCCTGGATGGAGCACGGTTACGGTTTCTGAAGAAGTCTGTCACTTCTTGTTCCATCATCTGATTTTTTTTTCCTTTCTTTTTTTTTCCTCGCAGGTCGTGTTGGGCAGGCCGTAGCAGTGCGAGCCAAAGTGTTTGGCTTCAGTGTTATCTTTTATGATCCGTACCTGCAAGATGGGACAGAGCGCGCTCTGGGGGTGCAGAGGGTGTACACACTACAGGACTTGCTTTACCAAAGTGACTGTGTGTCTCTGCACTGTAACCTGAATGAACATAACCATCACCTCATTAATGACTTCACAATCAAACAGGTAACTAGATTGGTTATGTATTTTCAAAGAAACCCCCCCCACCTTTCCACAGCAACCAACAAGATTCAACCTATTACGTTGGTTATTGTCAAATGCTGTGCTTTTGTACCAATTTTTGCATCAAAATTAAATCAGTTGCTGTATCACTCCTTTTTTATGCATGTTTACTGTGTTCTCATACAGCTTGTTTGTACTGGATGCTCACAGAAGGAAGTAATGCAATGTGTATGCAGGCCAAGGGACATCAAATTATAACTTCGTCCATAACTGATAATTTGCAAAATAGAGTAACCCAAATAATCCATGCAAAATTAATTTGATCTTGCTACCAATTTTGCTGTTATGGGATGCGTTCTACATCGCCTTGCCCATTTCTTATAGGGCCTATTTGATTGCTGTTTAACAGGAAATTCAGTGGCAGTTCAAAAAAATAGTTTGGGCAGTTCAGGTCACCACTCTGACTTGCAGTATGGTAGAAAAAGAGATCCTGCGCTATTTGTTCTGCTGTAACAAAGATTGATAGGGAACCATGAAAAAAAAACCTAGGAAATGTGAAAGTCCATGTGACATGGTTTTGTATGAGTTAAAGCACAGTGGTCAGTTATTTTCCTCTACAAAATGTCTAAGCACATGACCAATAGAACCCAACATTTTAATTTGCATTCGTATAACGATAATAAACAACCGTTGTAAGCAGGGGAAATTGCAGGCAGCAATAAAAAATTAAAACAAAATTAAAAGCTTGTTACTGAATTTGGAAATAACTTTCTGGAGTGTATAGACTGCGTGTGACCACCTCAAAATAAAGCTATCATGTGGCTTCATGGAACAGCCTCCACTTTCTGTCCACGTTGCATGTCTGCAGTATATGCTTTTATAAAGAGCCGCTTTTAGAAGGATCAGTAATCTTCATGACCCCAGCTGAGGAGCCTTAGGGTGAGGACTTCTACATCAGGCACCTACAGAAATGAGATGCCCATCCACTCACACCAGATTGAGCAACGATCACTTTGCGTTTGCAAATTATTTCTCATATAACAGGCTGTATGTGTCACAAGGTAGCTTTCAACCTGGAACATCTAGATTGCGGAATAACTGAAAATCAGGTTGTCAAAGAAAGTGGTTGAACAGTATAGAGACCTGAGAATAGCAGTATATGTTTCATGAGACCTGCTTATGCTGCCTGTCATGGATATACTGTACCTTTTATAAAGGCTCCTTCATGCCACTGAGCTGTTGCTGTGCCATCAACTTAGAATGGACATCAACACAACTTTTCTCAAAGCGCCAATAGTTCGCTCAGCGCTGTACATTACAAAGGGGGACAGAACATGTGACAGAACAATACCAATACAATGCAAAACATGAGGGGATTGAGGGCTGTTGCTTTTATTTGAACAGGCTGCCCTAACAGTGTACACCATAATGTGTATTAAAGCTACTGTGAAGAAGCATGTACATATAATACACATTGCTTTAACCACTTGCCGACCGCGCATAGCCGAATGACGGCTGCACCGCGGCCGGCTAGTTCTGGTGGACGTCATATGACGTCCCAGTCCCAGAACGCGCTCTCCTGCGCGCCCCAGGGGGCGCGCACACCCGGCGATCTCCGTGATCGCTGTGTCCTACGGACACAGCTGATCACGAGATGTGGTGAAAGGCCGATCCCACCGGCCTTTTACCACGTGATCAGCGGTGTCCAATGACACGCTGATCACAGGAAAAATGCAAGTGCCGGTTCTCGGCTGCACTTTCCTCAAGATCGTGAGCCCAATCCGGCAGTTGCGGGGATCAGATCATCAGGGCACTGATGATCAGTGCCCTGATGATCGGTGCCCAGCAGTGACCCCCGCAAACAGTGCGCCCACTAACCCATGCCCAGCAGTGCCCCCACCTGTGCCCCCACCTGTGCCACTCTGCAGTGCCACCTACCTGTGCCCAGAAACATGTGCCAGCAGTGCCACCCACCTGTGCCCACCCACCTGTTGCCCACCAGTGCCACCCACCTGTGCCCACCTGCTTGCCCACCCACCAGTGGTGCCCACCAGTGCCGCCCACAGTGCAGCCCAGCAGTGCTGCCAGTCAGTGCCACCAGTCAGTGCCAGGGGTTGTGCCAGTCAGTGCTGCCAGTCAGTGCCCAGAAAGTGATGCCAGTCAGTGCCGTCTATCAGTACCCATGAATCAGTGTCACCTATCAGTGCCGCCTATCAGTGCTGCATATCAGTGTATCCATGACCCCTAATTAGTGCTGTCTATCAGTGCCGCCTATCCGTGCCACCCTCATTAGTACTGCCTATCAGTGCCCTTTAGTGCTGCCTATCAGTGCCCATCAGTGCCGCCTATCAGTGCCCATCAGTGCCGCCTCATCAACGCAAATCAGTGAAGAAGAAAAAATACCTGTTTGAAAAAATTTTATAAAAGAAACAAATAAACTTTTTTTTTTTTTTTCAAATTTTTTGCACTTTTTTTAATTTATAGCGCAAAAAGTAAAGCGCCCTGTGTGGCGATTAAATACCACCAAAAGAAAGCTCTATTTGTGAGAAAAAAATGATCAAAATTTCATATGGGTACAATGTTGCATGACGGCGCAATTGTCAATCAAAGTGCGGCAGCGCTGAAAGCTGAAAATTGGCCTGGTAAGGAAGGGGGTATAAGTGCCTGGTAGGCAAGGGGTTTAAGCAGCCCATTCGTTGTAAATGTGCTACTAAGTCTCTGAAACACTCAAATTAGTCTTGTAGCATTTTGTTTTTAAAGCCATGCACAGCAATGTGTGTATGGTTCATATCTGTGCATTGTAGATTAATAATGCAAGTATCTTGTAGTGCCATTGAAAATCACCATAGCCACAAGCAATGGCACCACAACACATCACACTGTAGTTGATGTGTTTCCGTGAGTTCCAGTAAAACCACGTGTGTTACAGTATGTTAGCGCAGCACACTGGTGTGAATGGCCCAGTACATCATACACTTCTCATCTGATGGCTGCCTGCTCTTTAACATTGCATCCATTTTATCAATTTGAAAGAGTGCATATCTGATGAACAGAATAGACGCAGTCTTCCTGTGTGATGTTTTAATGTGCGAACAGTTGATATTTGATGTCCCTCCTAGAAGATTTATATATGATCTTTTTCTGTCTCTTGCTCTCTCCAGATGAGACAAGGAGCCTTCCTGGTAAACACAGCACGCGGGGGACTGGTGGATGAAAAGGCTTTGGCTCAAGCTTTGAAGGAGGGCAGAATCAGAGGAGCTGCTTTAGATGTACATGAGTCTGAACCTTTCATGTAAGTATTACAAAATCAGGGAGGCAGCTGATGCGCAGTTTTCTCTTGTGCCCTCCAATTCAAGTATTCTCTGCAAATATTGCAGATCTGAAGGCCAGATAACAAAAACTGCACACATTAGTTCTAGGCAATCTGTGTGTTCAGCAGGGTAGCTAAATAGAGGTGCAATGCACAGGTAGTCCAATACCAGTGGGCCATGGCCTGCCTCTTGCTGGGCCTCCAGGCAGTTGCAGAACCCCTAACCTCTCACAGTGCCTTTCAGCTTCTCTAGTGCCCCCTATCATCCACTAACACATCGAGCAGACGTCAGCACTGTTTGCACTTAATGTAGTTTGGGGTGCAATTAAAGTGGTTGTAAAGGCTCAAGGTTTTTACCGTCATGCATTCTGTGCATGGGTAAAAAAAAACACCTGCATGCAGCAGTGCCCCCAGCCCTCCTAAAACTTGCCTGATCACACAATGTGCATGAGAGTCTCACTTCTCCCGGGCCTCTCCCTTCTCATTAACTGAGACAGCAGCAGTAGCCATTGGCTCCTGCTGTCAATCATAGCCAGTAGCGGTAGCCATCACAGCCAGTGAGGATAGAGCAGGGTTGGGGTCTAGCCACAGTCCATGAATGGACACAGAGCAGTGGCTCAGGAGCCTGCTCAAGTACCCCCATAGCAAGCTGCTTGTTATGGGGACACTAGGCAGGAGGGAGGGGCCTGGGGAACTGAGAAGAGGATTGGGGGCTGCTCTGTGCAAAACTACTGCACAGAGCAGGCAAGTATGACATGTTTAGAGAAAAAAAAAAAGAAACCTTTAATTGTCACTTTAACAATTAACTGGCACCAGTGCACATCTTGTAAGGGCAGTGCATTCACGTGCAGGGTGAGAAACACGCACAACACGCACTGTGCCTTTCCCACACTATATTCCGGTATCAACCGGCACAAAGTAAATTTCCTAATGTTTGCTGCATGGACATCGAAATGATTTACCTCTCCTTGGTCATGCCTTGCAGATACGCTCAGGGTCCTTTGAAAGATGCTCCTAATCTGATCTGCACCCCCCATACAGCTTGGTACAGTGAGCAGGCCTCTCTGGAGATGAGAGAAGCTGCAGCCACCGAGATGAGAAGAGCAATCACAGGTAGGTGCTGGACAAACTGTACTAATACATTACCATAAGAGGCTAGATTTCAATGAATCCTCAGGAAACACCAACTCTGGTCAGACAGTAGAAGCCTGCTACAAACTCTGATGTGTGAGGGTCTAATTCACTGTGTCCTTTGAATGGTTGACCTTACACTGGATTGTGCAATTCCCTTTATATTGACAAAGGCCAGTTGAAAGGCATTAAGAGGTCGTGTTTTCCAGATCACATCCTGGCTGGCCGTAGCTGGATTGAATTTCATACTAAAGTTCTTACAACATTCAAATGTCGTTTGAAAGATTTTGTTTGCTTTTATGATTTGATTTTGGAATGAATAGATTTTACCGACGAGAAATCACATACACTGATAGAAATTCATTAAATCCAGAACATTTTCCATCCTACTCCTTTAACTTTTCTCATCACTGTGGTCCAAAACAAATGTTAATTTGACCCAATAATGATTAGAAAAATGAACAAACTTTCTTAGAACATTTTCAAAGAATTTCTGTTTGAGATTCTGCCCATCTATGGCCAGCTTAACAGATGTAGTGATTTATGTGCTTCAGTTAGGGCCATGGAACACGAGTGGCAGGATTGCTGTGCAAGGCAGAGATGTACTCACTGACAAAGGAGACTTAGCAGCATTTGTCATCTCTCATCCGGGCCGGCAAGGGGAGTGACACCGTATGGGGGATGGGGGGGACAGTATTTTCTCTCTGCCACGCATGGCAATCCTGTGGCTAGTGAGTTGTCAGTAACTTCCCAATGTCTTTCCTTGGCATGGTGCTGCCACCTTCTGGGGGACACTATAATGCTAAAATTCCCATTTTCATGTTTTTAAAACAATGCAGCTACCCAATGTCCTTCCTATCTTAGTTATAATAACATAAATAATCTTTATGAAGTATGATATTTCATATTCTTATATTTATGAAGACATTTACTCACACGTAAGGCTAGGTTCACATCTGTGCCCAAGTGGTTGATACATTTATCCACTTGCCAATTCTGACACTTCTCTCATCATTTTTTTTTTGCTAGAAAACTACTTATAACCCCCAACCATTATATATTTCTTTAATCAGAGAGCTTAGAGATTAAATTCTTGAAGTCACACACAGTGGTTTTTCAAACGCAATTAAAGGAAAACAAATACAATTTAATTGAGTTTAAACATATCATACCCAAGTGTTTGGTAAAATGTAAAAGATGATGTTACACCAAGTAAATAGATATCTAGCATGTCACATTTTAAAGTGCGTACGCACATTGAACCGCGCCAAAGTACGGTACCTAAAAATCTCCAAAGGTGACAGTTTAAAAGCCTTTACAGTTTACCAGTTTAGATACACAGGAGGTCTGGGGCTAGAATTTTTTCTCTCGCTGTACTGTTCAAGGAGATACCTCACATGTGTGGTGCAAATACCATTAACGTATGCAACCAACATATTCGTTCTCCTTTATGTGGGGGGACGGGGTACTTTACCTTTTTTTTTTCTACACTATTTCTGTAATTTTTTTTTTGACCACTTTGATAAATATCCCTTGTGATAGCAGTAGGCAGTGACAGGTCCTCTTTATGAAGAGATCTAGGGTCTATTAGACTCCAGATGTCTCCTCTGCCCTTACAAGCATCTGATCACACCAAAATGGCACTGTTTACATCCAGGAACCCCGGAAATGCAGGCATCTTACCAGTATAACCACTGAAACTCAAGGATCTTCATGGATGTCTTTGGGCAGCAGGTGGTTATGTGGCTTGTTTTCGATGCATTTCCATCCTTCATTTTTTTTTGTAGGAGGGAGTGACTGGTTGGTGTAAACAACACTCTACCAAAAAAGCATGTACATGCGTTTTTCATGTGCTTCCATTGAAGGCTATGGAGCCAAAAATGCACTGTCCTGTAAAAAATAAAAAGTCCCCTGCACCTTTCCAAAAACATAAAAAAAAAAACAAACTGCAGGAAACTGCATAGATGAACAGGCCTGTAGGAAAATTATGTTAAAGGGTTAGTCCATCTTTACCAAAAAAACTGCCTATGTAGATACGGAACGTCTGCAGATGAAAACACGTGCAGCTTTCACCAAAATTGCATAATGCCCTTGTTATAGGTGCGGGCCATTTACATACCTCATGAAGCTTGACCTGAAAACTCCCAGAATGTTGCTAAGCAAGGCCCAGCTTTTACTGTTCACCTTCACCAGCATCTAGAAACCTGATAATCACTGAACATGTTAGTAGTTTAACCCCCTGGTCACATCAAGCCAGAATTTGAAATCGTGCGACTTACATTGAAGTCGCAGGATTTCAAAGTCGGGGGACGTGCCGATTTCAGGTGCAATTTGTGAGACATCTGACACAGATATCTATGCAAATCGAACCAAAAGTAGTGCATGTACTATAGAATCAGTGCGGCTCCGACCAAGTCGGAATGGCACCGATATGACCGCTGTAATGGTGGAAAATAGGGTGTGACTTGGCATGCGATTTGCAAATCGTATGCCAAGTCACACCTGATGTGACCAGCGTGTAAAGCAGGGTTCTCCAAACTTTCTAAACAAAGGGCCAGTTTACTGTGCTTCAGACTTGAAGGGGGCCAGACTGTGGCCAATGGGGGTAGAAATATTCCTGGTGTCAGTGGGAGTAAACAGTGTCCAGCTCCTATAATAGGGGGGAGGAAAAGTGCTGCATTTTTTGTGTCAATGGTAGGAATTATGCCCCATTGTTGGTGTCAGTGAAAGGAATAATGCTCCAAGGGCCTGATAAAGGCAAGGAAAGGGCCGCAGTTTGGAGACCTCTGGTTTAAAGGAAAGCGTTCCTGAGAGACGCAGAGACGGCCATCGCTGAATTTACTTTCTTATAATGCCATCTTTCATGATCTGTAGACTTGTGCTGGGTCAGTGACTTAAGTATGAAAACCAGAATGTCAGCATAACAACTAAACAATTAGTACTTTCAGCAATGACTCCTGGGAAATATTTATTTTAGGTTAATGACCTGGATGCCACACCAAGCCATAACATGATGTACATAAAACACAGACACTCATTTTACTGCCACAACCTGGAACATAAACACTTTGTGCCAGTTCCTGAAGTCTTCTAGATGATATTTTTAGTAGCATCACAGTTATGGAAAAATGGAAGCTGTAATAAAGACTCTATACCTTCTCTGAGTTTATTTCATGCTTATTGCGTTGGCTCCCATTTACTTTACAGCTTGTATAATGGTAATGAAATGAGCGCTCACCTTATTTCATACATACATTTTTATACATCATAGAACCGGGTAATGTTTAGTAAACAAGAAATGACATTGCAATAGAGTTAGCCCATTACCTGTCAGCAGATAACAAATCTATAGGATCCCTCTAGAAGCTGGAAATCAGTATAATAGACTTCACTCACTACTCCAGTGATTTCCACTTGTTTCCAAGTCCCACACCAAGCACTTGCCCTGCTTCAGTGTGAATACAAGAGGTTGGCTGCTCAGCATGGGTGCAATTTAGAATGCTTTGCGTTCTCAGTGAATGCTAAACATTCTCTGATTGGATATGGTGAAGGTACTCCATCTCATCCAATTAAAGAATGCTCTGCCTTCAATAACCCCTTCCCACTGCTGGCTCCCTGCCCTTTAAGAGCATCTAAATGCCAGGAGGTGAAGATGGACATTTAGGTCACACGATCAGAAAGCTGATTGCTAGTATACATTGGGAGCTTTCCAGTCCCTGCCAGTGCCTGTACTCGGTGCGTGCAATCAGCACAGAAAAGTGTTTACACAGGGCCACATATATGCAGCCCCATGGCGTTAAAGCCCACGCACTGAGAGGCCACATTTATGCACCACATCAGAGGGAATAGGTTAAGAAAATGCAAAGCATTCCCCGAATGGCACCCTTGCTGAACTTCCGACGTCCTGCATTCACCATGCAGCAGGGCAGGCGCTCTGCATGGACTTGTAGAAGTTGGAAATCATTGTAGTAGACACTGCTACTCCAGTGATCTCCACTAGGCTAAGGATCCCGTAGCTATCTGGACAAATGTAACTATGTAAAAATGACATACTTGGAATTCTTCTTTAAAGGAATTTTGAAGGGTAATTTTTTTAATAAAAAATGTGTTATATTTACCAATGAAATTGCACAGAGCAGCCCAATCCTGTTCCTCTTTTTAGTCTGCCACCATAGGAATCTGCTTCCTGTTGGGGCACACCTGCATGCTCAATCCTGAGCCATGCTGCCTGTATCCATAGACACAGGCAGCATGGATCAGCCCCACCCCCCACTCTCACAGGATTTGATTGACAGCAGCAAGAACCAATGTCTCCTGCTGCTGCTCTTAGGAACAGTGTTGGAGCAAGATCAGGATCATGTAAAAACTTGAGCTGCATACAGAAGGTTTTTTTACCTTAATGTAGAATATGTACTAGGGTAGATACAAACCTTCTGCCTTTAGAAGCACTTTAAGCCACTTGTTCATTTGGCCATGTTATTGTTTTATTCTTTTTCCATAGTGTTAGCTAGCAGAACAATTGGCTTTAACAGAGATCTGTTATGAGCAGAATAAGCTGGCTGTAATAGATGTCCTTTTGCTCAAAAGCTAGATCCGTGGCTGCCCTGCAGATCTTTTGGCTGAGTCTCTGATCTGGAACAAGCATACATATTAAGGCTTTGGCCTCACAGGCTGCAGGCTTGTCCCAGATAGACGATCCAGAAAGCAGTGAAGCTCAAAGAAAGGCTATTGCACTCAGGAGACAGTCAGAGGTAACATCCCTATTTGTTTTCTTTCAATGTGAACCCGCACTAACTTGCCTACCCCATTAGGTATCAGTTTTGACACTTCGCTCAATGTGTCATCACACAGGGCTGAAGTGAGAACTAGTCACTGTGTCTTCCATCCTGTATAATTCTTGGCATAGACTGAAGCTATAAAAGCTGCTCCATGGCTACTGCTATAATAATAATAATCTGTCACTTCATATACCAACAGGCCGCATCCCTGATAGTCTCAGAAACTGTGTGAATAAAGAATTCTTGGTTGCAACAACTCAGTGGACTACAATGGAGCAACCTGGGACAAATGTGGAGCTGAATGGTGCCACCTACAGGTGAGGGTCCAACTTACACGATCATCTGCTGCCTTCTCAGTGTACAATCCAAAATGACTAACATATCAAAACTGAAGGCAGGCCCTGTTGCTCAGAGAGCAGGCAGTTGTGATAGTCCTCAAATACCAGTTAGAAAATAATAGCGGTCAACTGACTGCTTTGGTCAATAGTCATAGTTACAAAGTTACTCTGGTTGAAAAAAGACACGTCCATCCAGTTCAACTAATAAAAGGGAAAAACAATTCTACAATCCTATGCCCACCATTGATCCAGTCAGATTTCTTCACCACCATGTTAAATTTATCAAAGTGTTTAATAAGTACTGTGTGTTACCCCACAGCACCAACACAGATTTCTGCTTTCAGATTCAGATTTCTGCTTTCCATTCCATGTTTGAATCCAGTTAGGTACTGTAAGGCATTATTAACCACTTGCCATCTGGGGCAATTCTGAAATTTTGCACACGTATGTAAAAATTAGCATTTTTTGCTAGAAAATTACTTAAAGGCCCAAACATGATATATTTCTGAAAGCAGAGGCCCTGGAGAATTAAATGGTGGTTGCTGCAATTTTTTATGTCACACTACATTTGAGCCATTTATCAAACACAAAATTTTACAAAAAGGAGAAACTACACTTTTAGAGAGAAAAAAGAAATTCCCCTCTTAAAATCCCTGCAATGTACTTGGATAACTCAAAGTATTGTTGCCGATTCCTACCCAACTACCTGTTATTCTGAAATAGCTGTTTGTTTGTCAGTGTCCATATGCAATGTGAATGGGAGTGCCTTTATAACTGTTAATATCAGTTGCTGCACCTTCATCGCTCTGAGGAAAGCTGCAAGGTCTAAATCCCTTTTAGAAATAATTTCCCTTTGGGGGTAGCTCACCAAAAATGACAGTTTTGTTGAAGGGGATGCCCAAACTCTGACTTGTATCTTAATGCAGACTTCTGGGAAAATTAGTGAGCTAATCACACAAGCAGGAAATAACATTTCTGGGCGATATTCGGAAACTGTGTTCAGAATGCCTCCTGGTTGCCATATTGCATTTTACAGAAAATTGTAAGAGGTGGCAAATATTAAAATCTTGACATGTTTGGCTTCACATGTGAAATGGTGACAAACTACGGTACCTAAAAAGCTCCATTGGGGACACTTTAGACCAGCCTTTCTCAACCAGGGGTGCTGTAGGGAGAATGGCTGTCAGTTGAGCCCGAGCCCCTGATCCTCAGCTGCACTGTACGTTGGCACTGGGAGCAGTCAGACTGCTGAGCAAAGGGAGGGGTCCATCCGACAACCCCCTATTCCTGTCCTATCAAAATGGCTTGCTTTTTTTTTTTTTTTTTTTTTTATTAAGGACTTGTTTGTAAAAAGCAGCAAGGACTGCTGCTCCTCTGAAAAGCAATCCATGCACAGCTTGGATTGCTTTTGACAGGTGTTAAAGATGTAATATTATGTTGCCTCCTCACCCTGTTTGTAACCCTGTACAAAGCAGCATCACCATGTGCAATACGCACACAGTTGCAAGGTGGTTGTAGTTCAACCCCATTCAGCTGGAGGTATACTTCCAGCTGCGGTAATAGCATGTTTATTGCTGCAGAAGCAGCAGCTGGGGGTAAAGGGGGAAGCAGTTGGGGGTGATAAAAGCAGCTCAGTTGCATGTTTTACCCCCCTCCAACCTCACAGGTGAATTGGCACTTGCTTCTCATCTGTGTGGCTGTGTGTAGGGCAGTCCATTCATTTCAGGGGGCTGCCTTGCCCGCAGAAATACAAGTCATCCCTGACCCTTGTTTTAAAACTGCACACCAAAAACACCCCGCGTTTGCCAATGTATGGGGGTACTACTAAAGAGCAGAGCATTTGTGTCAGGAAAGAGCGTGATTTTTTGTGCATTCTGTGACACACAGTATCGTGAACCAGGCCTTTGACAGGGGTGCCTTTTGACTGAAAATACTTTTCAAAGGGGCCCTGACTAGAAAAGGGCTGAGAAATGCTGCTTTAGACTAAAAGCCTTTAACGGTTACCAGGGTTAAGTGAGTTCTGCCATTAGGATTATTGCACTCACTCTGCACCACTGTGAACAGCAATCAGTTTACATATAGATGTGTGATTGACATGTACACAAGGGAACGGTGATTTTTTAATTACCTTTTTTTTATTATTAAACATTATTGCTAGCTGGGGGTCTGTTTTGAGATCGGTTTGATTGGGTGCTGGTCATAGAGGAGAGGGAGATATAGGTGTTCTGCCCAATACTCTTTGCTGGCCCAACAGGGTACAGCAGTCCTGAGCTCCCCCGTGGAACAGGGAGGCCCTTGCGATCAGGTGGCTGTAGAGCTGTTCAGATCACTTTTACATGAAAATCCATTGTCAGCAGGATCATGGCTGCAGCTACACTCATGATTTTGGTCTAAACCCTTGTTCCTGAGGATGTACAGGTACAGCCTAAGGCTAGGCAGTGGTTAAGCTCACTCCATAGTACAAGCTCCTTTAAAAAAAAAAAAAAAAAACCCTATATAGTGTAAGGGCTGGCCCTGATTGGATAAGGTTCATATTACAGTCAACTTTAGATTTACAAAAACAATGTAACATGTACAGTGACTCTTACTGATATTTAAATATTCATGACACAAATTTGCCTACTGCTACTTGCCATTTCTATTGCAAACTGATGGCACAAAGAGCAATGTTTAGTTTTTTTCAGTAATATCTACTGACCATAGTTTACAAACCTGATCTGTGTAGTGATGAGCTATCCTCTTCTGCTTTATACAGATCTGTGTGTGCACAACCGCTCCAGGGAGAAAAGCGCTGACCACTGCCTGCAGCACGTAAGTTCCGAGGTCTTCCTATATTAGATGCAAAACCACAACCCACTGGTTGGCACCCAATGGTGCATGGTCATTGTGTGGAAGGAGGAGAAGCTATGTGGTGTAGGACATTCGTATTTTTAATTATTTTATCAGCACCAGAAAAAGTTAATTGGTCAGTCATAAAGACATTCCAGTACAACCACTGAGAGGCTTGTTAATTTTTTTTTTTTTTTTTTTTTTTTTCCCTTGGATGACATGACTTTATTGGATTGGTTGAGATGAAGCTCATGGCATCATCCACCCCAGCAGATCAGAGCAAGTCTTGTACTCAATCAGAAAATACAGTTTTCTGTGAATGGCTGAGTAGCACACAGCCCTGGTTGATTTTATTTCGGCAGCAGCATGGGAAGGCCTTGTACCACAGCACTGGATGGAGCCAATGATACTTATGGTTTATACAAAGCTCACAGCAGGTGCACTCCTGGTTGAAGCGAATAGTTTGTGCGCCAAACTATTTTAAAGTGCCAAAAAACTGGTGTTGGGTTCATACACTATATGACTTTCAAGTCAGTACCCAAATAACTGGCTGAACCAGGGAGCCCTGTTGGCCATCTCCCCCCACAATCTCCCTCAAGTGCCAGCTAGCCACTCAGATTCAACCACTGGTCTGGTGTAATACAATAGGCACAGCAGGCTTCCACCTGCTATGTATAGGCTGGGGGTTAAATTAAGAAAAAAAAAAAGTACAACCTCAATTTTTGTGTATGAAATGGATTTTTTTTTTTTAAATTTGTCATGCAGCTGTAATTAGATTCTGAAATAAGGAAAGCTGTATTGTTCACACTTTAACTGTTGTAACAGCTTCTACTCCAGCCAAAGAGCATGGCTCTTTCACACAGTTTGAGGAGAAGGGCACCTTCCGTTTGTTAAAGCATCAAGCTGCTTCTTTTATAGAGTTCATGGTGATGAAGCTGTTCTTAACATTTTACTTAAATCTGAAAGCTCAGACAGCAGTTCACACAACTTCTAGATGGGACTTGTCATATTCTCCATGTACTGACAGCAGACCACTGATGATTGTCTGTGCCAGAGGTAGGGGATGATGACATTATACATCTATAAAATTTTGTTTTCTCTTCAAAATACACAATTGTCTGCAATCAAACTCCTTTTCATTAAATACCCTTGGACTTGTAATTATTCAGCACAGTGCCAAAAAGCACAGAAAGGCAATTCTCATTAACCCATGGGGTTGGGTAAACCTACCTGCAACTTAGACTTCGTTACCGGTAACACTACCCGGTTGTTGCTCCAAAAAAAAAAAAAAATTGTATATGTATTTCAGAAGAGTCCTTTCACACATGTCCAGCCAGAGGATTCTCTAAACAGATCCCATACATCATTCAGGCTGGAGAGATGTCACTTGTAACATGTCAGTGTTCAGGGTTTTGTCTGCAACTAGCTGGAATAAACTAAAACTTGAGTCTATTTAGATCAGCCCCCTCACTCAGTAGAGATTAGGTCTGGAAAAACAGAGGACCCCAGGCCTTTTTTTTTTCCTGGAGCTGGATGGATGGAGAGGGAAGTAGATATAAACACAACTGTTTGCATCCACCAGGCCTTAGCCTTGTATGAAGCATTTGATCAGGTTCATCTTAAACCAGTCAGGTGGACACAATTGGAAAAAACCTATCTGCAAACACTTTCCACACAGGAGTAGTAGCAGAGTGCTGATATGACAGCTGCAGCTTTCTCACACACATTTGGGTTTATTTAAAAGAGCTGAACTGTACAAAATCAGGCTCACTTCTGCATAGAAACCAACCAGCTTCTCTAAGCTTTGGCCATAAAACCTGGAAGCTGATTGGTTTATGTGCAGAAGAGAGTCTGATTTTGCACTCTCCACCTTTTGTAAATAAAGCCCATGTGTGCACAAGTAGCATTTACAGCCCCCATCAAGAATTGAGTTCTTCCTGCCTACAGCTAAACCATCATGGGATTTGATCTTTACTGCTGGCCACTCCAGGCTCAGGCAGGATCCCAACCATGTTGTTGGGACAAACACAGATGGCTGATTTGGGATCTAGCTCAGCACACTGCCAAAAACCAGAGACTGACCAAAAAAACTGAGCAGTCATGTGAGCACTTGGTTGTCAGGCTTAGAGTTCCTGGCGGGGGACAGTTGCAGCA